ACAGAGCTATTTATTTTGGAGATTTATTTACCGCTACAAAAGTAATCTCATGAACTATTTACATATGCTGCATTAGTCAATGTTTTTAATGACATCAAAAATGTCACAATTGGGTCATTATCCAGAAGTCAATTAGAAGCTTAATCTTGGAACATCTACAGAATTCCGGTCACTTCGCCTCACCAGAAACCCCCTTCATTATTGTACATGATTAGGAGTGTTGGCTCAACAGGAATGCAAGTGAAGAACTAATATACAACATAGGCTATTTCTATCGACTAGTTTAAGTCAAATCCTTGCGTATAAAAACGGTCTGTTCAGTCCCTCATTCTTTCATGACTTTAACTTCTCTTTTTGTCTTCCAAAATCTATCGTTTTTATTTACTTTATCATTCTTATTCCTTTCCATTTATTTTCACGACTGTCAATTAGCGATCGTTACCACAACTATTTTCACCTTACTACTTTTCATCAACCAAGTATTACATAACTTTCTTTTGAATATCTGATTTTCAACTATTGACAATATGACACTTCAAGTTTTTTTGGGATTAATTAACACTTTTCTATCTTACTATAGAACACTATTTGAACAAATAAAATTGATTATTAATACAATTGTACAGCTTAAATAAATAAAATCGCGGAAACATTGGACCCGGGTTACGTGTTATTTATCACTCATCAGCAAGGTGTACTTGTAATCTTGAGGGAACTGATGCTCACTGACGGATTCAATCCCGTGTCACACAGCTTCACAGTCAAAGATGTTACCACTGAGCTATCTGGGCCAAACAGAACGAAATTCCGGTCCATGGTTTCCTGTTGACTACCTTCAACCACCATGTTAATCATTATCCCTCTTATCAAATTTGATGTTTAAGGTTAGTTTATAAAAGGATAATTAACTTTCTTCTTTTTTTAATCTATACTAGAATTTTTTTCGGGTAGAAAAAGTGATTCAACAATCGACTAAGGAATATCATTAACAAAGACTGAACATTATATGGAAACATTGAAAGTAGTAACCGTAATATTCTACTATCAAAGTGTTACTCTTGGAAAGAATAAGTATCCATTGAATATCAAACTTTCATCAATAAAATACTCCGAATTCCTTTATGAAGCCTTTATCTCTCCAATGATAATTACATATATATAACTAATTCGATTCACTCCGTTTCTCTGATAAATATAAATCGCTTTTATTTTGAAACAGAGGGACTTAAGTCATGAAAACAGTTCAATTTAAATTATTATTTAAACTACATAGTCACAAAACCATGACTACTGTTAATGATGTAATGATATTATGTAATAATAATGATGTAATGGTATGTAATGACTTGAAGTCGATCGGAAAGCTTTCGTACTAATTATCATACTTGGAATCCTCATTCGGTAGTTTTTCTACTCAATTAATAATTCTGTTCATTTTGACACACTTCAAATCCTTTTTTCATGGTAACAAAGGAATTAAACTTTTCACTGCTTATTCAGAAATACATCCGACCTTCTGGGATTCGAACCCAGTATCGTTCGCTTCAAACGCCATCACGTTATCCACTTAGCTACTGAGCCCTGTTAACCATCTGCTTGTGCGTTGTGGTGAAGTTTAAATTCACTTGGTATTGTTCACTTGTATCTTCCCATTGTTATTGCAGGTACATATGTAGTGAACGTGAACAATTGTGGGGACAATTGAATGCATTTGAATAGAAAACTACACAATATCTCAGTAAAATCTGAGAACCATACATTAAATACTTCATTCACAAAATGTCAATCAATCTTCTCAGACTTCACTGGACCTTCATTTCCAAAGCAACCCTTCTCCGTTCTAGTTTTCTTTTCTCCGATCTTCTAAACTTTCTGCTTCCAAACATTTCATTTTCGATTGATGATACATACTACTTATATCTGTCGACATCAGTATCACAAACCACACATCCATCTAACGAGTCTAAAATAGGACGAAACACGTGTCCTGAATTCCAGTGTTAACTATCATCCGTCTTTGATCATTCACTTAGATTTTTGTAAACGTTTTGGAAATCTCCCACACCGTATGATCGAAATCGACCTAATTCATTAACTAGTTAGAAAACGTTTGGACAGAACTAGAGTCTTAAAAGTAGTCAAAGGAGTAGACAGTCAAAATAAATATACGGACAACGATGGGTTAACAAAAGTAAAACTCATCAAGATCAAGATTGACAGAACAAGCTGTATATCATACGTGGAGAAATTCGATTACCTCACCTCTGATTGAAGTTTATGCTAATGACGCTATACAGAAGAACAATGATAAATTCACGAATAAACTGTTCAACTCAGAAAACGAAACTTCATTATAATCGGACATATCATTTTACAAACTTCAGGTAATTACTGTCCTCTCCTCTGTATATATTTCAGATATCAATGAAGATACATAGCTGGTTAGTGTTTTTTGCAGCAAGAGTTTGTCTATGGGATGGGGTTGCTGAACTCATGCCCAACCCTCATCCTTTACCCAGGTTTGGGACCGGCAGTAACTCTAGAAGTGCTATAGGTGGAGTTGAAGGTATATATGCTTAACGTACTACACTTTTTATGATGTTTATTTTCTAATGAAATTACATATTGGTATTACAACTTTTCATTTATCAGTATGTAATGTGATGAAGATACAGTTGTAAGCTGATGAGGCAAAACCATGAAATAAAATGAATTTATGCTATTTTACTTCACTTGTTAATTTGATTAAAGGCAACTAATAGTTAGATCATTATATTGTTAGGAATTAGACTGAGTAAGATCAATAACATTTAACTATCAGTATGGGATTGCAGAGATTTTTAAGTTTTCGATTGAATCAATTGATGTTAGACTATCCTGTTGTGGGACTCTTCAGCACTGTGTATCAACGGTCCTGCTAGCGAGATTCGGACTCAAGGCTTTCGGTTTCGAGCACGAATGCTTAATCTCTAAACCACTGAGCCAGCATCCAGTGGTGTTAATGTCTTGCCCCAACCAATTCACAAAACTGCGCGACCATCATTCATTGTACTGAGGTATATACCTGTCTCTACCTGATATTGATTACCTCCACTGGTCACGGCTTCTTATTAGAACTCAGAGAATTCCCTCACGAAGCTAGTCACTAGTGAACACATGATAATTATCAGTATGGGGTTCAAATCCGGCGAGCGGGATCGTTGATGTGTACAGCTGAGGAGTCCCACAATAGGATGAAATGACCGTCCAGTGCTTCTAGGTTTTCAATAGTGGTCCAACATCAATTGATTCATGATCTCAATCAAAAATTAAAATCTAATTTTGAGGAATTATTGAAAGATGTTTTCATTATAAATTCAGAAATAGTAATTACATATAACGGTATAATTTTTCTAAAAAAATTATTTAATAAAAGTGTCATTCAACCTTGAAGAACAAAGAACACATTACGCCGAGGAATAGAGATAGATATGCGAAGAATGAACAACAATTGAATAGCACTAGACAGGAAAACCAAGGACAGAATGGATTGGAGAATGTTGGTCAGCGGACTATGCTTCATCGGGTGGTAACAAGTGTAAGTAAGTATTTAAGGCACATAGCTAGCAGCTCATTTTATGTATATGCAAACAATTTGATATCACATGATTTCCCTCATCAATCTAGATGTAAAGAGATTTTGAAAGCCATTTTCTCTTTTAAATCTCTCTTTTCTATTGTCTTGTTTTCAATGACAGATAACTCTTAAATTTATCTTACCATGTGATACCTTCTAAACTAAACTGTAATAATTGGTATTTTGATATCAATATGGAGACTACCCTAAACAATATGAATTGAATGTTGATGTAGAAGCTATTGGAATCACATAATCTATGTGAAATGATAAGTATGATTCTTTTGATGATAGATGAACTGGACTCAGTCAATTTCTTTCGCTCTACGTATTTTTATTTATTGTAACAGAATAAGTGAAGTAATTTGGAAAACTGAGAACCGATTTTATGATGGAAATGTCCAGCTCCGTTCTACTTATCTGACGTTTACGATGTTGATCCTCGGTGAGATCATGGGAGAGAAATGTTCATGGATCTCATGCTAGGACGGAATTGATGTTCAATATTTCTTGATTTTCAATTATTATTTAGGGAAATCATTTGAGGATATGAACTACGATTGTCGAAATGGGAAACCGATTCCTTGACGAAATCACGTTTTTAAATGTTAGCTGGATATGTATTTGTAATAGACACACCTATTTTATCAGTTTGTACAATAGTATTTTAATATTGATGATACAACAATGAATCGGCTGGTGGTTTCATATCTTCAAATATCTGTCTTTGTATTGATCGATCGTGTACAGACCAAATTAGGTCACTTCAGATCATCGTCGAACAATTGTCTGAAATGAACTCGTCAATATACACCAGGATCCTTGAGAATGAGAATGCGTTTGACAGTATGAACAGGAAAACATTATGGAAACCTTCCTTGATACTATGGGTTTCCTGAAAAGATTATCAACATTATCCGGAATTCATGCGTCGGTTAACGATGTGGGGTAACTAGAGTAAGTAAGTAAGTAAGTCATTTGATCTTTGAATATACTTAACATCATATATAAGTATTGTCCATTGTTTTACATAAGAAAAAGTTTGACTTATTGATATTCTGTATTCTCTTATATTTGTACTGTTAATAATATTGAATAAGAAACAAAAACAATCGGATGATATGATGTAATGTTATGTAATGATAGTCATTTGAAAAATGAAAAAAAGGGACATCCCCCTCATGTTAAATGATTTGACATTGGATATTAAAAGTAAATAAATAATCAATAAATAAATAAATAAATAATCAATAATTATCAATTTTATTGGAATGATATTGATTTAATTGTTTTTTTTTTAAGAAAAAAATATTTTTTTCTTTTCTTTTTTTCTTCTTCAATAGAAAATATGAAAACATTGAGAGTTTCTTTTCTTTTTTTCCTTTCAACAACATTCAAGAATGTGTGGATCTTTTCCATGAGATGATCTACGTATCATCCAAATTGAAATTATTATATAAATAATTTTAATTATTGTAAATATAAAACATAAAGCCAATATTGGATCGATATATTTATAAGTGTAATTATTTAATACTTCAGCACATCCCTGTGAATTGGATAAAAGAAGAAGAAAAAGAAAAAGTTTTTTTTGATAAAGTAATCAAGAAGGAATTCTAAGTAGGATATTCTATATTCATGTATACATGAATGGTTGATTATTGTACAGAAAATTAGATTAGATTGATGAAGTTACAAAGTGTTTTTCATACAGAGATAAAGTTTCAATAGGTTCTCTATTGGATCCTATCATGGCTGATTGTTTTATGGCCAATTTAAAAAATTCGGTACTTTGACAAATAATTAAGAGATTTTATTTACGAGTTGAAATCATGAGTCAATTGAAGCTAGACAACCATGGGAAACCTGGAAGTACTGGAAGTCCGTTTCATTCTAGTATGGGACTCCTCAGCAGTGCGCACCCACAATTCCGCCCACCCCCGAGAGATTTGAACCGAGGACCTATCAGTCTTGCGCGCGAGGGCTAAACCGGCCGGTATCTAATAGTGTTAATGTCTAACTTCAACCAATCCACGAAATTGCATTTATATAAGAGATATATGGATGGTACTTTTATTGTTTGAGAAGAAGATATGGACCTCAATGAAATTTTGAATAGTTTCAATAACTGTCACCCCTCAATTCATTATTATTTTCTTTATTATCCTTGTCTTCTCTTACTCTACATTTCTAGACTAGTTGACTTAACAAGTTTATTATGTGTGATTAGATTATTCGAAATGTATAGCGCTAATATAGTCTTCGTTTACTTATTAACCTATAGAAACTGAATCACCTTAAACAAACTGATAACCTGAAAAATTTCCATATTGATATAAGCGATTAATATTGTTTTGGATTAGATCCTCATCGAGCTTTACTCTAATATGCAGTAATGTATTTATATATGCATATGCGAAATGAATTAAACCAATCAAGGAAGTTTATGAGTCAATGATAACAATGGAATAGATTACATAATAAGTGAAAAGTACAAATTCATAGTGGGATAACAGGTACACTGTTTTTGATAAGAATAATAAAAGCTCAAATTAATGTTACATAATCGGAAATAGGTCAGTGATTATAGAAATATAGAGTGTGAGATAACAAGCCTTTTGTAAGCAATGGTGCATAGTGGCTAGCCGCGTTTCGTCCTATTTGGGACTCATCACCTGGATGTACCTACATATCAGAGTTGATGTTCACTCTGGGACTCGAACCCAGTACCTTTCTCTTCAAATGCCATCGCGTTATCCACTCAGCTACTGAGTGCTGATAGCCACTTGCTTGTGCAATGGGGTGAATTTAAATTCACTTATTTCGAGTCTCAGAGTGAACATCAACTCTGATAAGTGGGTACATCCAGGTGTCGAGCCCTATGTAGGACGAAACGCGCGTCGTGGATTCCACTGATAGCCACTAACCATCTTTACCTAGAATATTATTTTATCTTTTTTAAATCTTCTGCCCTGATTAGATTAAGATGAGACATTAAGCAAGGGATTTATTTGTGGCTCGTCCTCAAAGAATATAATCTACATGATTCTTATATAATTGATTTACACGAATATGTTACTCACATATTTAGGTACTTTTTCTCACAAACTAGACTGATTGAAAGAAGAAAGCTTCTTGTTCGAACATCTCATTTGGAACTTCTATGTTTACTTAAGCCAAGAAGGATATCATGATGAGAATTGTTTTTTTTTCAAAACAATATTTAAGTGCACATGTATACGTTATATGTCTATTCGATTACTTATTCATTGTACATAGTTTACTGTTTTCAGGTTTACTTGAACAATACATATTTATGGACAAACTAACCATGTCGCTATCGGGTTTTGAAGATTGTTGAGTTTAGATCAATATCTGGAATTGATCAGTGTTAGACTGTCATTGAAAAACCGGAACCACTAGACGGTTGATTCGTCCTACTATGGGACTCTTCATCAATGCTCATCCACCACTCCTCATATGGGATACTAGGACCAGACAGCCGTCTAGTGCTTCCACGTTTTCAGTGATGATCTAACATTGATCCATTCATGATATCAATCTAAGCTATCTATGTTTGCTATTCTCTACGTAGACAAGGATAACCAGTTTTGGTGCTATATCTGGACATTTCTAAAGCCTTCGACATGGTTAGCCACTAACTTCTTATAGACGAACTCACATCTTATGTGGTCCAAAATCCTTTACTAGCTTGGACTGATTGCTTTCTCAACAATCAAAACCAAGTAGTTAAAACTAACTCCTCATTGTCTAACGCTGTCTCTGATAGAAATGGTGGAATACAAGGTAGTGTCTCAGGCCCTTTGCTATTTTTAGTGTTTGGCAATGATATTTGTGAAAGTTTCTGTGTGAGTAATCCCCTTCTATATGCAGATGATCATAAAGTATTATGTTCATTTTCTCCACATGAGCTGAAGAATATGCAAAATTGCATCAGCATGGAGCTTAACAAGGTAGCTCAGTGGCAACTGGAGCTTAATACAGATAAATGTGGATGGATATGCTTCGGTGATACATCAATCAACATAGATCTTACCACAACTGGAGAAGTGTTATCTATGTTACATACAGTAGTAGACTTAGGACTTAGATACTCGCAAGACTTGTCATATAAAGAACAGATATTGAAATAGACCTCTAAGTCTCAACGCCTGGCAGGTTACGTAACTCGAAACCTTCATAACAATGAGTCATGCACTTTAATGTACAAAGTTTCTGTTCGACCACTTCTAGAATATTGCACGTTCATTCTCAGCAGTGCGCTCATAAAGGATAAAATAAGGCTGGAATCAGTACAGAGACGATTTACACTTCGTATTGTTGGTGCCCATTGTACCTTAACTTATAATTCCAGATGTAATAAACCTGAGCTAGACCCTTTATGGAGGAGGAGACTCAAACTAAATCTATTCTTCTTCTTCTTCTTCAAAATACTTATTAAACTATCGTTTACATACAATCACGCGATTGAATATGCAGAAACTTCTCATCATGACTTCCGTAATTCCTTGTCACTGGTGAAACAAACTCATTCTAAATCATCTCTTTATATGGGTTACTTCACCTATAAATTTTCTAGACTCTGGAATAACCTACCATAATCTATCCGTACGATAAAATCACTCCCATTATTTGTTCTCTTCATCGATGCATACTGCTCCTCTGAAAATGCATTGAATGTTCTATCACCTGTAAGTGTATCTCATTCCACAAGTGAAATTATAGGATCTTTAAGTGTTTAGCCATCTTTATTAGTGCATTCCACAAATAGAACCACCTACATGCTATCACTTCACGTTAATACTGTCCCTAGCAACCTTAACTAATTTGAATAATATCTAACATGAACAGTATATCACTGGGTCACATGACACAAGCATTATGGTAAAGCTGGTTGACATAAATTCGCTTTATACTGTTTTACTCGTGTCTTCCCATTGTTATTTACGACTGTAATTGATCAGTCTCATGTTTGTATATGTGCATCCTGTACGGATTGCCTCAGAGTTGTTGTTCACTACGAGACTCGATACCAGTACCGTTCGCTTCAAATAACATCGCGTTATCCACTTAGTTACTGAGTCCTAATAGCCAATATTGAGGTAATAAGCACACTTTGCACATATGTCAATAAGAGACTGATGGTAGATTCCAGTAATTAATACCAAGTAAATTTAAACTTCACCACATTGTACATGCAAGTGGCTATCAGGACTCATTAGGTAAATGGATAATGTGATGGCGTTTGAAGCGAAAGGTATTGGGTTCGAGTCCCGGAGTGAACATCAACTGTCAGATGCAGGTACATCCGGCTGACGAGTCCCAAATAGGATGAAACGCGCGTTCCACTGTTAATCACTATCCATCTTTGTTGATTGAAATATTCTAGTCATTATTGCTTTGTTGTTCCGTGCTCTCTGTTTTCATTTTAATTTCTCTAATTGTAAATAATTATCAATAATTCGTTTTGGCATAGGAAATAACCTTAAATACACCATTCATAAATCAACAGGATGTCCATTTAAGAAAAATCAAAAGTTCCCAGCTGATTTATTGCATTGCTATAAAATACATGTACTACCCAAACAATTGCTAAACTAGTAAACTTAAAACATGTAATGTCACTATTTATATCAAACTGGTCATGGCTGTAAACTGGTGTGAATTCTGTAATTACTATTTTTACAGTATATTATTATAATCTTAATACATATATGTTTGCTTTATCATCACATTATCCATTTAGTGAACGGTACTGAGTTCGAGCCCCAGAGTGAACATCAACTCTGAGAAGTAGGTACATCCAACTGATGGGTCCTAGACAGGACGAAACATGCGTCAAACTGGATTCCATTGCTAGCCACTATTTATCTTTGCATATCGAATGTTACTATTTATATCAAATTGATCATGATTGTAAACTGATATGAATTATGTTATCATAATTTTCTAAATATATTGTTATTATAAGCAATGGTGGATAGTGGCTAGCAGTGGAATCCACGACGTGCATTTCGTCCTATTTGGGACTCGTCACCTGGATGTACCTGCATCTCAGAGTTGATGTTCACTCTGGGACTCGAACCCAGTTTCGTTCACTTTCAACGCCATCATATTATCCACTTAGCTACTGAGTCCTGATTCCCGCTTGCTTGTGCAATGTGGTAAAGTTTAAATCCACTTGGTATTATAATCTTAACACATGTATGAAATATATTCAACCTGTTTACTTTATCATGATTATGAAGATTTAGATTATACTTAAATGAAACAAATTTATACAATTTAAAGAATTGACTTACCACTGTATAAATAGTTTCATTATTTTTACAACTTGCTGGTAAAGTATTATTAGTTCTTCGATAATCTGTAAACATTGAACTTCCACAACATTTATACTACAAGTGAATGTTGTAACAGTAAAGTATACAATTAACTTACATTAGTTTGTAATTGTTCAAATTGTTCATGATATAATGGATGTATATCATAATAATTCAGCGAATCCTTTAATGTATAATTAGCATTTGTAATGAACTACATTATAATAATAAATAAGATTAGAATGAATTAACCATACTTCATTTGGTGTCATTACTGTACCTAATGATATACATAATTCAGTAATTGTTGCTATAGTCATAAAAGTGATATGCTAAATACAATAGTATAATAGTTATTATCTAATTAGTGATATATTTACCAATATAATAACAATTTGATTTGGTTTCATTATTTTACAATAACCAGTAATTGAACCAATTATACCAATAAATCCTGTAAATATAATTGTTGGTAATATAGGTGGATTAATTCCTTGTAATATTGTCTTGAATTGTCCCAAATCATCTTGTGCTTTAATACCTAATGCAAATAAAATGATACTATATACCTAAATATAATGAATAATAATAATAATAATAAAATAGGATTAAATCAATATATGATTAGTTACCAAGAAAACACCATTTAAAATAAGAAATAATCGATTCCATCCTTGTTCACTTAGTGATAATTTCATATTGTTCAATCTTGATAAATATTAAAATGAATTAACTTTAATTTTGTTGATGAAATGAAATAATTTTAATCAAATTTAATAATGAATCAAGTTTTAATTTAAAAAAAATTTTTTTTATTTTTTAGTTGATATACATGTATCTATGATTGTGTGTATGTGTTGGCTTGGTAACTAATGCACATCTTGTCAAATCATATAATCACTGATATAATATTTTCCTGACATATAAAAAACATGAATATACCTTTTCATATGTTAGTATAATAGTATCTATCTATCTATCTATCAATTAGAAACCCCTTCTGAAATTAGAAATATGTAAGAAAACTTTTTTTTTCATTTCGAATATGTATGTATTTCTATTTGTATGTGTCTAACAATCTGATAAGGTGTTATGACGTATACCTATCAGATAACAATTTATACTGTATGAAGATGAAATTTTGAAAATTACCACAATCAGAAGGGGTTTGTGGAAAGTTTAAAAATTCCACAGATTGGAATCATGAGTCAATTGAAGCTAGACCACCATGGAGAACCTGGAAGTACTGGACGGTCGTTTTTTTCTAGTATAGGACTCCTCAGCAACGCGAATCCACGATCCCGCACTCCGCGAGATTCGAACGCAGGACCTATCAGTCTCGTGCGCGAGCGCTTAACCAACTAGACCACTGAGCCGGCATCCATTGGTGTTAATGTCTAACTTCAAACAACCCATGATGTTGCGCCACCGTATACCATTGTCTTCAGTGAGCTGATATCTCACAACAGACCTGGTTGAACTCCACTGGTAACGACTTCTTACTAGAACTCCAGGAGTATCTGCTGAGGAGTCCCATACTATGACGAAACGGCCGTCCAGTGCTTCCAGGCTTTCCATGGTTGTCTAACTTGAATTAACTCATGATTTCAATCTGTGAAATTTCTGAAATCTCCACAAACTCCTTCTGTTGACAATTTTTTTTGATAGAACAATAAAAGATTAGGTTGACCTGCATAATGTGATACATTTGCACTACATATATTTCTAATTATCTAATCATACATCTTCTTCTCAAGATACTCATAAAAACCAACGAAAGTCAATTGAGTAAAAGGTTAAATAAACATGACATGATAATTGTAAATATTATGAAGAAAAAAGTACTGATACTCTAAGAGAAGAATAGGAAATTGTCATACCAGCGGTCACCAGGACATATCCACGGCTACGACAAACCTTTACTGTTTTTGACAGAGTTTTGTTCTCTGAGTTAGATGGTTTGATCGTGGAGCTTTCATTGTTCTTCTGAACGACATCATCGGCACAAATGTTATAGAGGACTAAAAGATGAAGCTTAGAAGGATACTCACGTCAGAACAGTTGGAAATCCTGATAATAGCCATCGAGATATCATGCGAACGACACAGAGAACAAAGAAGAAACTTATCAACTTCTCAAAGCCATCCATGGAAGAGAACACAAACGACTGCGTGGTCAACTTGTCAAAGTAACCACCAACAAACGTTAAACCTTTACTGTGCACGTAAACAGGCTTTGAATAGGCAATAGCCAAGGTTTCTATAAACGTAAAGACTAGCCTTTGGTGATTCGTATATAGCATTTTAAGAGCTGCGTCGATGTTAATTCTAATGAGAAACCATGACCAGTCGAGCATAACTCATACCGGGTGTGTGACAGATATCCACCCTGGGCAATGAAAGAAGGGTTGCGTAAGATCATGGATTGATTAAAGTTAGACAGTAACATCGTTTGATGCCGGCTCAACGATCTAAAGGTTAAGTGATCACACGCAAGCGCGAAGGTCCTGGGTTTAAGTTTCGTGTTAGGGGTTGCGGATGAGTACTTCTGAGTCCGAAATCAGAACAAACAGGCCATATAGTTTTTTCAGGTTTTCATTGATGGTCTGAATTGGACCAACTCTTAATTTCAACTGCGACAATGCTACAATCTCTGAAAATCCTCACACTGATAACATTAATAATTTTTCAACAGGTAAAGTCAGACAGTAATTTCTGATAATTAGTGATAATAATTCATCGTGGCAGTACTTCTGTTTAATATCCTTTTTGGTCATTATCGCCAGCTACGACGCAAGAAAATATAGGACACTGGTCTTTACATGATTAAACTCCACCAAAATTTATGAATGAACTCCATGAGCTAGAAGTGTGATACAAACAAACACCTCCTTCAAGAATAAGTATACGAAGGATGGTGATTGGAAGAAAAGATAACAATCAAATTGTATAGGAAAATGTAGTATGCATTTCAGATGGATATATTTCTGACGCAAAATGTTGTTATCCAATGAATAAACCTTGTTTTTATTTGCATTACTTATGTATGAAGTAGTGTTCCAGTGAATAACAACAATTAGTTCAACAATCATTCATTATAAAGACTTTTTATGCTAAATATTCCATTAGTTTTGAGGTGGTAACAAAGATTTGTAGCTCATATTGATGACTTCTATTGATGATTTAATTCTAAATTTTTCATTGCTTTCTCAACAAAGAAACGTTAGCACATTACTTAATAAAATGTGATTACAAAAGTTTAATAGACTGTTCCTTTGACATTGAAACTCCGCCTGGAGCCTCTGTGGGGCTACTGCCAGTCCCAAGCCTGGATAAGGGAGGAGGGTTGCTCATGGGGTAGGCAATCCCGTCCCATAGAAAACTAACTCGTTAAAAACACGCTAACCAGAAGAAATAGTTCAAACCATTTAAACTATGCCCTGGGAGTTAGAAGGTCATCATTTAGAAGAGTTATGACACCTCATGGTGAAGGCGAGTTCCTTCGGAAGTCACGAGGCCTATGCCTCTTCTGACAACCAGAGAAACCATTTATGAAGGAACTGCTTTACACTGACTTTTGTTCATATGCAGAAAATTTATGGTTTTTATAGCGTTTGAAAAATTTTAGAACGCTACTAAATACAACAGTATAGGCAATTATTCAATCAGAAATGCAACATGTGACTTTTCAGTTTCTAGATGTTTCTGGCAAAACTCCTGTTGAATGTTAATTGAACAACATGGTTCTCGGTGTTTTCATAGGCTTTTTCGTCTTTTTTTCGAGGAATTTCCTGGATCTCCCCAATACTTGAATAACTAATATTTTTACAAATTGTGAAGAAAAGATTTATGGGCGTCGTTACTAATGAACATTTATTGTAAAAGTGTCTAATGAAAATGTTCTCAGTAACATTTGAATGATTTCATTGATTAATTAGTAAAATTCATGACTAGTAGCGCAATTTCGTGGATTGGTTGAAGTTAAACATTAGCACTGTCGGATGGCGTCTCAGTGGTCTAGACGTTAAGCGCTCACACGCGAGACCGATAGATCCTGGGTTCGAATCCTCAGGGGAGCGGGACCGTGGGTGAGAACTGCTGAGGAGTCCCATACAAAGATGAAACGGCTGTCCAGGCTTCCAGGTTTTTCATGGTAGTCTAGCTTTAATTGACTCACGATCGAAACTATTGAAATCTGTATTTCATTTTTTAGACCAAACATCCATTTACAGCATAGTTGCATACTCTCATATTATTGAGCATAATGAACAAGTAATGAATATAAACGCAAAACTGTATATGTAGTGTTTATATACTGATTTATTGATATCACTGAATCTAGTTTTAATTATTCGGATTCAGATTTGTGTAGTAAGGACAGAAGGCCTACGGCCTATGTTATTCCTTTTCTAGTATACATCTATGAATGTCTGGTTATCTCTTGAATGAATCAACTGGATGTAGGGACATCACTGCTTCGGGTGACATGTTCCAATAATTGATGACTCAGTGTAAAAACCTGTATGACACGGGTATTTTGTTCGTTCTTGGCTTTTCTACTCGCCTGCTATGTCCTCTGAGATGTATCAATTTAGTGAAGAGAAAAAGAGAGGATACATTAGGTCCAAAATCATTTCTTAGTATTCTATACATTAAAATCAAATCACCTCTTAATCTTCGATAGGACATAGTAAAGAGGTCTGGATTTTCAGACCGCTCTTTATGTGTTACACCCCGAAGTTCTGGAATTGCACGTGTAGCTGCCCTCGGTAATTTTTCCTGGATATCACAGTCACCTTTTAAACACGGGCTTTCAGCCTGAATGCAGTTCTCACGCTTAGTTCTCACTAAGGTTGTGTATACTGTAGTGAACATGGTAATATCTAACTTAGTAAATGTCCATCTTAAAGCCCATGGGGTTCTAAACTCCTTAACTGCGACCTCCAGGGAATGGGCCGTGGTCTTAAGATCATGACTCACTGTCAAATTCAAGATCCATGGGAAACTGGACCACGGGTACAGACACTTCCCCTATACTATAACTATTTACCTTTGTATCACTAATTTAGGAGTTTTGAAGTATATATATATATACCAGAGAAAGCATATGTATAATACAAATCTAATTATACTAATGATGTAAAGCCAATTTCTATATTTGTGTTTAGGGTATAAATATGTGAAACCCAATATAACTGTTTTTATTCAATGTGAAATATAAAATTTTCTCTTTTATTTTCTAGATGTTTAACATGACAACAAAAAACATTGAAAGAGATCTGACTTGAATATTTTAATACCTACATTAAATGAAAAAAAAAATTTACAATCATAATGACTCATTACAATTTTAAAGTAGGTAACTTTACATATTACAAAGAGTACAGATTAAGTAATTAACATTGAAATTGAATCTACACTAATCGATTTTCAGAAAGTTCTAATTTGAACTAATAAATTACTCCTGTAACTCCTCATGGAGGAGCATAGACCACCCACCAGCATTCTCCATCCATCCCTGTCGTGGGCAATCCTTTCCAGTTATTTCCAGTTGTTATTCATCCTTTTCATATCTATTTCTATTTCTCGATTTGATATGTGCTTTGGCCTTTTGCTTTTCCACTTCCCTTCAGGATTTCAAATGAGGGCTTACATCGTGATGTAATTTGATGATTTCCTCAATGTCTATCCTATCCATTTCCATAGTCTTTTCCTAATTTCCTCTTCAACTGGAAGGTGAACTGTCCTCTCCCACAGAATGGTGTTGGGTGAACTGATTGAAGACTATGAATTTGTCATTACCAAATGAAAAATTTTGGGCAAATTTGTTTATCTTATCAAATTGTTTTGTTTTTTTCAATAGTAAGTTACTTTACATTTGTTCTTTCATCATACTCATCTATCTAATCAAGATATTTTGAAATTATTCTTCTGATATTTAGAATCACGTCATTAATGAAAATATCTCAAGTCGGTATTATTCTACTAAGGTGTTACACTAGACAGTGGTTGGTGGCCCGTTATTCACTAACGCCAGTCAAGTAAATAATTATCTACGAGGATAGCTAGGATGTATATTGTGACAACAAACATTCAAACAATACTACTGGAGTCAGATCCAGAGTCACTAAAGTGGTGAGCCGAATGTGTTTCGAACACGCAACCTTATGATATGAAGTCAGATCTGGGGCCAATAAAGCAGATCACTAAAGTGATGAGCCCGTCGACAACATCGTTCAATCTAATCGACGTCAAAATGAAGAGTCCTAATAAAATATTTCCAAGGATCAGTTTCGCAGGTGCCTTCGATAAACTGGCTGCATGTATCGGAACTTTCGGATTATGAAAGAAGAAGAAAATCATGATCGATGTAGTAAATAAAATATACAAACGAAATATGATACAATTTCTATTGATATTCATGTTTAGCATCTCATTGCTTTAGCTATTGCAAAGCAGTTATCGAAACTGGTGTTGCGACACGTTCATTTATAAAACCAAACAATGTTGGTTGTGAAAGCATTGAACTCATTGAATACTAACACCACCATCTTTTTATTACAGTCCCTAATGAAACCTGACAATCAATTAGAAGAATTGTCATAGTAATATTATACATATCTTGTGTATCCAGGCGAATATGACCATCTGCCAATTGAAGTAATATATTATTGAATAGTTTGTTTTAAGAACTATATTTTCAGAAGGGGTTTATGGAGATTTAAGAAATTTCACAGATTGAAATCATGAGTCAATTGAAGCTAGACCACCATGGAAGACCTGAAAGCACTGAACGGCCGTTTCGTCCTAGTATAGGACTCCTCGGCAGTACTCATTCACGACCCCGTCCCCCACGAGATTCGAAGTTGAAGGTACACATTAACACCAATGGATGCTGGCCGGCTTAGTGGTCTAATGGTTAAGCTCTCGCGCGCAGGACTGACAGGTCCTGCGTTCGAATCTCGCGGGGCGTGGGATCACGGATGCGCATTGCTGAAGAGCCCCATACTAGGACGAAACGGCTTTCCAGTGCTTCCAGGTTTTCCATGGTTGTCCAGTTTCAATTGACTCATGATTTCGATCTGTGAAATCACACTTTCTTCGAAACATTCAATTTATCTTCAGTTTAAATGTGACTGACCTATTTACATAAGCTTATTACCCCTCATGAGGAGCATAAGCCACTCACCAGCATTCTTTATCCAATCTTGTGCAGTGAACGAGAAAACAAGTAAGAATGTATCTAAACAAAATTACAGAACATCTTGCTAAAATCTGAGAACCATACAGTAAATACTTCATTCAATCGTCTCAGACTTTTCTGTCCATTCATTTTCACACTAGTCCATCTTTGTTTCTATTCTCTTTTCTTCGACATTCTTAACTTTCTACCGCCAAGTATTTCACTTTCGATTGATTATACATACTACTTATATCTGTCGACATCAGTAGCACAAACCACAAATGTGCTACTCAATCCTTTCCAGTTGTAAATTTGAAGTTAAAATGAGTTCTAAAGTAGGAAACGTTTTAGTTCCAAAACGTTTTCAAAATGGCGACAAGATTTATGTACGAGTAAGTTAATGATAAGATTTTTTTACAATATATGTAAAAAAAAACCCAAAATAGTCATTATTTGTCTTATTTACATGATTATCATTAACTGGTAAACAAGTTTTATATTTCTTCTTTCATACAGGTTGTTGTTCGCATTCATTTATAAGAGTTGTGATTGATCAGTTTCGTTCAACATATGATCTTCTTGACTGGATTGCTTTGGAGATGCTAATAAGTAGAATTAAACTTCATCCTTGTTCCACAATTCACTGGGTAGTTAGTTTCAATAGCTTAGTGGAGAAGGCTGTAGGTGCATGAAACAAAGGGTACTAGGTTCGATTATTAGGAAATATATTTACTTCAAGATGTCGGTGTATTCAGTTAACAAGTTCGAAAAAAGAGAGTACCAGTAAACCGAGTTCCACTATCAAACACGATCAAACGTTTTTCTTTGAAAGGTTAATACTTACGGACTAATTTTCTCATTTAATGTAAATTGTCTGTTTGATTAATATCTGATTTTATATATAGACTTTCTCAGTGATAAATTTGATTAAAATGCATACGACAAACGTAACAACTACTTGCAAACCAAACAGAATGGTATTGATTTCATAAAGACGTTATTTATACTCTATATCATAGTATCAAAAAGGTTCACAATAATATAGATTAATAAGAAGAGAAGCAAGTATTACTTAATTAGTTACGCCTATTACTTACAGTGGAGCATAGGTCGTCAAACCAGCATTATCCAAGCAAGTATGGAAAGACTATAAAAAGTGTTCAGATGTTAAATTGTGTAAAGATTGAGTTCGACAAGACAAGCTGTTAGTCATATGTGGAGAAATTAGAATATTTCACTTCTACCTGAATATGATCTTACTCAATGCATGAAATGTGATTGACAGTTCACTGTGTATCAAAACAGATTACATTTACCATTATCATTTTAACGTCGACTATTTGTAAGATTACAGCTAACAATTTGATAAACTAAATACATGAGGGAAAATATAACATAGGAATCACTTACAATTGAAGGATTTGGTTGTAAAACTTTTATACAATTCAAATATATCAGTAATGAATACATTTTGTGAAGATGAGATCATCGATTTCGGTTCATTCATACTTATTCCTATGTTGTGGAATATGACTGCTGTTAGTCACTGAAATCTAGTAGATCATACGGCTCAATCTTAACAATGAGAAAAGTTACCTGTCTCAGTAAACCAACACACAAAATGGAATAACATTGGCTTCATTCATTAATCTGTGCCGAATACAACGTGTAGATCAATCTAATCTCCATTAAACTTCAACTCAATGAAAAACGATGCATCACTCGTATCTCATCAGTTTTGAGGTCAGATCATTGTGATATCAAGTTGAAAATGCTACTTAATTTTAATAAGTATCTAATTTCAATTGTAACAATTTATTAATAAATAAGTGGCTTTGATTCATATTCAACAATCGTACACTGTAAAATGAAGAATTATCTATTGAACAGTTGGTTTACTTACATACTTCATGCTTGTCACTCCCAATGGAGCATAGACCACCGACCAGCATTCTTCAACCCAATCTCTCCTGGAACTTCCTTTCCAGTACTATTCAATTTTTGTTCATTCTTCTCATGTCTGTCTACATTTCTTCGCGTAATACGTTCTTTGGTCTTCCTCTTCTCCTTGAGGATTCCAGGTATGGGTATTATCTATTGAAAAGATTGGTCTACCTAGAATTAAATGAATACAAAACAGAATAATCAACAGCTCACTAATCAGTTTTCATTTACCTGTGCAACATGTTTCTATTTCATCTATTTCATCGCTAATTAAGTAGTATCGATGTGATGATTATTGTTATCATTCAAAATCACAATACATTACCATAGGATTAGATTCCACAGGTTGAAATCAAGAGTCGATTGAAGCTAGAACACCATGGGAAACCTAGAAGCACCGAACAACTGTTTCGTCTCAGCACGCGACTCCTCAGCAGCGCGCATCCACGATCCCGAACCACGCGGGGCTCGAACCCAGGACCTACTAGCTTCAACCAATCCACGAAGTTGCCCCACCGTACACCATTGTCTTCAGAGAGTTGTTATCTCACAACAGACCTGGTTGAACTACAATGGTAACGGCTTCTCTCCATGGTGGTCTAGCTTCAATCGACTCATGATTTCAACCTGTGAAATTTCTAAAACTCTCCACAAAACCCATTCTGAGAATTAGATTCCTTTTACTAGTCACATGTATTGCACCATATAGAATTAGTGAAAAATAAACATACAATAATGTTTTACATGGTGAATTACATCAATGCTTATCTATATGATACATAACAGTATACATATCAATCTATCAAAAGCTTATTGACATTTGTTATGCGTAGGCTAAACTCAATCATTCATTTCTTCTTTTACTCAGATACAGGCTCACTGGCAATTCATCAACAAAAAATGACATAATCAGCAGGTATGAAATTTAATTAAAAGTGAATTTCGAATGGAATAATCAAAATAGAAAGGGGATTCCGTGTGAAATTCATCAACAAGAATAGAGATTTCCTGAACACAACAAAACTCTTGTGGCAATTCCCCAACAACATCATCATCCAGTTCAAAATCATGTATTTGTCTATAGTTGGACAATATTCAACAAAATTATTCGTTTTCTTCAATTGTCTTTTTATTGTAAGCGATAATTTCCATTGATTTGTTTCTCTGTTGTTCTATTCATTTCATTCTTTATGATGCAATATAGACAATTGACAGTATTGTGGTTGTATACGGCATGAAACTACCAACCAATTTATTTGGATATAAGAGGATTTTACAAGCAACTACACCACCCATCTTCCTAACTGCTATTTTCTCAGGAACTCTTGGTATATTAGCTGCATGCATCGGAATATTAGCAATATTGAGTGAAAGAAACATGATCATGTATCTGGTAACCATTGAAATATTAATGCATATGCATATGCATTTCTATCCAACTTTTATGTTTAGCATCTATGTACTTTGACCATTGTAATACTTATGGAAATAGGCATAGTGTTGACATCCTCTTTAATGAAAGATCAAGTTAGTTCATGTCTGACATTGTACGTTGACTTCTAATTACTTTCACGTATACAGTTCTTCACTGAAGCTCATCGTTCGTTAAATACGAATGTTAAACAATATTGGACAAATCTTCGTTATCAAATAGAATTTGATGATTTACAAACAACAGTAAGTAAATATAATATCGGTAAATGCGTTAACACTCTACATACAGTTCCGTTGTTGTGGGGCTGATTCATCCAACGATTATCCACATATTAAACAACTTATACCGATTTCATGCTTGTCTGGAATAAAACCATATTCACTGGTAAGTAAATATTTGATCGTTGTAAAACACTCTAGTTGCATATGAACCCATTGAAAGCTTCTAATTCTGAAGGGAGTTTCAACATTGAATAGGTAAATGTCTGAGGAAATGTTTGACGTAACACCTCTGCATGTTATTGTTAACAAATATAAAGCGATACCCGTGCTACAATAACCAAGATTTGTCCAACACTCAATTTATACAGTTCATTTATTCAAAAGTATACATTTTACACCATGGTTTAACATGCTTCATACATATTCTTAACACATTCTATTCACAACAAATTGATTGGTCATATCTACGCAGGAAATTACTACTCTTCTCACAATTCACCTGGAACACATGACCAATGCATATTTGTAACGTTCAGTCTCAAGTTCACAGATGCTGAAAATCTACATCCTGAGATCCTCAATTCCTTGTTACATATACTTGTCATGTTAACGTTGTTCTATTCACTTTAACTTGATTTTGTGTATATTCAAATAAATATATTAGGATGGAAAGGCCTTCCGGTGCTTTCAGCTTTCTAATGGTGGTCTAACATTGGTCGATTCATGATCTCAATCACAACTCAACCATCTGCACAACTGTATACTGAAAATAAATATACGTGAATTTATGAAGTAGAATACAGAATGAACACTGAAGAACAAGACACCTTGATTGGACGGAAGTTAATGTAAAAACACGTCTAAGCAGATAAGTGATGGTTGTCTTATTTTCATTAGTTGTCTAATTAAATTCAGTTCATCATGTAAACTACGAAAAGGAGGCTGTCTCAATACTTTCCGTAGATTTCTTTCAACAATACTAGATTTTGTGGCATACTTATCAGTTTACTGTTGGTTTAGTGTTGTAGAAGTAGCTATTGTCCTAAGTTGGAAGTTGCATACGTGCAAAGCGATTCCATTTCCTGATCGCTCTAAGGCTTATGTCATTTATATCGTAATGTCTGCTTTTCAAAGAAGGACCACATTTATCAATCTGGTCATTGAAAAACCTCCACCGAATCACATGATTAACATAGTCGATACAAATGGATCAGTGATGTGAACACAGCAGCACACGTTTCAAAGGAAATGCAATTTTGTTTGATGTATAGAAACATTCAATTCAAAACGAATGAAAATTTCTTGGCTTTTGGATGCAGTGCTCATATCTTACTCAATACACCTTCATAGGGAAGGAGGATTAACTCGTTGTATAGATAGCTTCCAATGAATCATTTCATGCAAACTAAATTCCACAAATCACATTCAACATTTTCATCTCAAGCTTACCAGTTATTCGTCATTCACTCACTGCTTTCCATAACTCGTAGACAAATATTGAAATCAACCAAACAACCAAACATCGTTCTCTATGGTCAGATAGATGGTTTATTCACTTGTTTTGAATATTACATGGCACTAAACATTTGTTTCTTCACAACTATTCATAATTAATTAACACTATGTAGTTTCTTTATTTAACATACACAGGGATGCATTGATGCATTGAATGGATTTGTACAATATTACAAAAACATTCTGATCTATTTATGCTTCAGTTTTGGAATAATTCATGGTATCTACTTGGTGTTCTCAGTTGTGATGGTTTGTAAATCTAAACATGGGAACATTCGATCGACACAAACCTCTTGTTGAAATGAAACGAAGACTACTGATGAGGATTAAATGTTGGCCGAAATTTCGCATGAATAACGCTTAATTATTGTTGATAAAACACTATTACACTTTTACGTAACACTTGTTTCATCAATTTGTAACTTATACATTTCATTTGTGTAATAAATCGCACTACGAATACAGAGTTACTTGGTGAAATTTAATAATCATAGTCTAACACTTTATTTGCAAAACGTTCATTATTTGTTTCAGACTTTATTGTTTCTGCATTACTATACCAATTGCTTTCTATTCCCGTTCTTGCCTTCTTGATCTTCTCAATCTTCTGTTGCCAGACATTCTCTTTCTGACTCGCGTTGTATACTACTTATGTCGTTATAAGTAGCACACACCACAAAACTCGTATAATTTATAGTAGCTTAATCTGTACACCTATTAAAGACTGAAATATATTTCACTGTAATGATGGAACTACATTGATAGGATGGATTCACTGATAGTTGTGATAGCAAATATCATAATATTTGCGGCCTGATTGAGTATCTGAGCCCTCAAATGCCCTGGTATAGCCGAGAGCGGGGTGGGTTTTCCCTCCCTCTCGAAATACTCTCACACGGCCACGCGTATATAGCCTCTGCCAGTCAAGTCAAACACACAAATCAAGCATATCTATACAAATATTTACAATCGATATTGTCATACAAAATTTTTAAACACTAATCAATGAGTTCATTAATTGACCGCTATTTAACATTTAATCGATAGTTCATCAACTGACTGCCATTCAAACATTTAATCGATAAAATGATCGATAAGATAAAATTTAAAAATATGAGTTTGGGGATCTATCGTCCCCAACACACTGCCTTGTGGGTTAGACCTTTAAGTCAAAGGCTCGGGTTGTGGCCGCCTAAGATAACCACCTGCTTCGGTCTGGGCACCCGGGCAGTATCGCACCCTACACACAAATGATGAACTGTACTGTCGATGATTATGGAAACTAATTCTCTTGCTTCAACTAACAATCAAATGATTCAAATTATTATTATCATTATTATTATATTACTATTATTGCTCTCATTATTACTATTATTATTATTATCGTTATTTATGACATCATTATTCACCCTCTTTTATTCCTGCTCTGTTTATACTTATTTTTTCGACTTATACAGCAGCTCGTCTATGGTGGAAATTCGACTGTATCTAAACGTTCTCAAGTCACTGTCCGGTTGAAAATTATATGTTACCACCGAATATGAGTACTGAAGCAGTTTTTCTGAAACCACGTGCACCATTCAAACTGGTTGCCTTCAGCGTTCGCACATTTATGCAGGTCGGACAACAGATAGGGCTGACCGTCTTTGGAAAGTCTTAATATTGATGTTTGCTGTCTATCCGAAACCCATATTCAAAACCCTAGTGAAGTACTACAAATTCGATCTCCATCTGTCGCTTCGAAAAGCTTGTTTTACGTGCGCTTATCCGGAGACCATGTGGCATCTTCGTCTGGTTTTGCTGGCGTTGGTGTCGCACTAAGCGCTAGAGCTGAGGCAGCACTAATCGATTGGATCCCATTAACAGTCGGTTATGTGTTGTTAGATTAGAAAGTTCCATCAAAGTGAGGAGAAATCGGCGTGAGAAACGATGTCTTTTCGTCATCTCCGCCTATGCCCCGACAGATTGCAGCCCGGATGCAATCAAGGATGAGTTTTACCACCAGTTATCTGTTCTTTATGAGAAAGTGCGTTCGACAGATATTGTAGTACTAGCCGGAGACTTGAGTGTTCAGGTCGGGCGTCTAGGCACAGAAGAGAGTCGTTTAGGTGGCCGATGGGGACTCGTTGGTCGCAGGTCAGATAACGGGGACAGTCTACTGCAACTGTGCACAGACCACAACCTGTTTCCGGCTAGCACTAACTTTCGGCACAGTCATCGCCGATGTGCCACCTGGTGTCCTCCCTCTGCATCCCAAGCCTGGACTCAGATTGACCACATCGCGATCAGTTACCGCTGGCGTGGTTGTGTACAAGACTGCCGCTCCTTTTGGAGTACCTAAATGGACTCTGACCATGCCTTGGTCTGCGCCAATCTCACCTTACTTATCAGTGGACAACGAAGTGACCGCCACCAACGGATTGATGTTAGCAAGCTGGTTGCAACTTCTGTTGCATGTAAGTATCGAGCCGAGTTAGCTTCTAGGCTAGCTACCATTCCACCGAAAAGTTTAGATGAGCATTGGTTGCAATTGCATGACGCCATGAAAATTGCGGGTACAGTCAGTTGTGGGTTTGCGAAACGTCCCGCTTTTAAACATTGGGTTTCTGCAGGTTCCTTACAACTCATCGAAGCCCGTCGGTCTACTCCGGGTAACCGTGAGTTTGACCACAAACGAAGGATGTTACGTAGTGAAATCGGGCAAAGCTTGAGTAAGGACCGAGAAGCCTGGTGGTCGGAGCGTGCTAATGAGCTGGAAGCAGCAGCTGCATCTGGTAATTACCGGAAGCTCTTCCAACTCACCCGAGCCACTGGCAGCAAGAAGTCTGGTGTGAGCGAAACAATCTACGAGAATGACGGAACGCCAATCACTAACATTCATCGACGTCTCGGACGATGGGCAGTATTTTTCGAAGGGCAGTTCAACTGGCCTGCTGCTCCGGCAACATCGGTCAGACTGTCCTGCCCTCCATGGCCGGTGACGACTGATCCACCAAATGATGCGGAAGTCTGCAAGGAACTCCAACTCTTGAAGAGCTACAAATCACCGGGCGCAGATGACGTACCTCCGGCTCTTTTTAAAGTTGATGGTGACTTTCTGACTAAGGAATTGACGACGTTGTTTACAAAGGTTTGGGAACTAGAGAGTGTACCAACGTCATGCAATGAGTCGATAGTTGTCCCTATCTTTAAAAAGGGTTCACATCGTTCCTGTAACAACTATCGGGGAATAAGTCTACTTCCGATTGCGTCCAAGCTATTGGCTTCCTTCATACTTCGTAGATTGTTCAAAACCCGAGAAAGATTGACTCGCGAGGAGCAGGCTGGGTTTCGTTCTGGTCGAGGATGTATTGATCATATCTTCACCCTCCGCCAAATGTTAGAACACCGTCATCGGGGCTGCCTTAGATTCGTTGGACAGGGCTGTTCTCTGGGATTGTCTATTGAAGAAGGGTGTGCCTGAGAAGTTTATTAACATCCTAAAAGCCCTATATGCAAACACCTCAGGCAGAGTGAGAGCATACAACCACCTTTCTCCATTGTTCCATTCGAGCAGTGGGGTTAGGCAGGGTTGCCCAATGTCACTATTCCTCTTCAACTTTGCCATCGATGACATTGTGGAAACGGCTCTGGTGAATGTATGTAATGGTGGTGTGGATCTGTTGCCTGGAGAAAGACTTCTCGATCTTGAGTATGCAGATTATATTGTCTTACTGTGCGATAATGTCCAAGCCATGCAATCCCCACTTAATCAGTTGGCAATCAGTGTCCGTAAGTGTGGTATGTGCTTTGCACCTTCGAAGTGCAAAGTACTTCTACAAGACTGGCAGGATTCTAATCCTGTACTCACCCTGGATGGTGAGCAGATAGAAGTAGTCGAGAAGGTCGTGTATCTGGGTAGCTGCATAAGTGCTGGTGGGGTTGTGAGTGATGAGATCAGTGCACGTATAGTGAAAGCCAATCTGGGTCATCTTTGGCGCCTTCGTGATGTTAGTCTGGCTGTAAAAGGTTGGATCTACAACGCGTCGGTGAGAGCAGTTTTGCTCTATGCTTGTGAAACCTGGTCTCTCCGAGTTGAGGACGGTAGACGACTCTCTGTGTTCGATCATCGTTTTCTCCGAAGGATTGCTAACATCCAGTGACAACACCATGTCAGTAATGCAGAGGTTCGGCATCGTGTGTTCGGGCACAGAGACGATAATGCGATTGGTTTCACCATCTTGAAACACCGACTTCGGTGGCTTGGACATGTTCTCCGAATGTCGTCCCAGAGAATTCCACGTCGTGCATTATTTGCCGACAGTGGGACTGGTTGAAAAAAGCGGAGAGGTGGTCAGTATATGACATGGTGTCGTTGTATGAAAGAAAGCTGCGAAGGACTGGCTTGTGTTGGTCCTTCACGACTCCGTGGCTGGGGTCCGAGTGATGGTGCTACACAGTGGCTAGAGACGTTATCAGGTATGGCTCAGAATAGAAGCCAGTGGCGATCCTGCTGTAACCTTTTTTTACTTTCTTCGTAAAAAGTGGCTGTCTCTTCTTTAACTGAAAGAATTCGTTCTGATTGCACATTTCCGTTCCCCCATTTTTATCATTATTATTATTACACCACATTACATCAATCTCTTCGTTATTATTCTCTCTTGTTTTTTTCTTTTCCTTCCCCTTAAATTCTCATTGTTTTGTGTGGCGCGTATATCTTTGGCGCACTGCTGTACCAATATATATATGTTCAAATAAATAATAGTAAATAAATAATCTGGGCTACCTGTTCCTGCCATTTAGATATTTCAACAAGTTATCTATTTTTGTGTGTTTTAACACATCATTATATCTGGTAATCAGTTGAGCTATTCAAGTGCTTCTATGAAATGTTTAAAATCTTTCGCTGTAAAAGTTACAAAAGTGCCTATTAAGAGACATCGCGGTTTTCGAGAACATGCAGTGAAAAGAATGTACATTATTCAGATGTCGATTCTTAAAATGCTAACCTCTAACTGGCGACCACTCAATATGTTATCGTCTGAATCGACCAAGAGTTAAGAAATTGAAAACGTTTACGTTCTACCAAGAATATAATATTGAATAAAGCTAATAATAATAAAATTGTAGTAATAATATTAATGATTCTTGGTTTTTACACCGAACAGAAACAATACAAATCAGTGTATTCTCGGAAAATCCATCAAAATTATTCAAAAAACGTTGTTCTCCGATCTAGTTTAAAATTGTCTTAAACCACTATTACTTCTTTTGATGTCTGTCCTTGATACCCGAAGCAATGTGTTTATTGGTGATGCGCTTTACCTTTCGCTTCAGGGCCTCAATTTTGCAGTTTGATGATTTTGTTAATGTATATCCTACCCACCACTCCAAACATCCTTTTCAGATGGAAGTTGGCTTGTTCGCCCCCACAGTAGGCTGCTGCTGATGATATCCGTTAAACGGACATTAAATATCTTGTGTAGACAATTGTTTATAAGTACTTGTAATACTTTGATGATCATTGTGGTAGCACTCCAAGTCTCACCTCCGTACAGTATAACTCTTTTGACGTTTATATTGAAGATTCTGACTTTGACGTTGGCTTGCAGACAGCTGTTTGAGTTTCAATATTTTGTTCAACTGTATAAGTGCTGTCCTTGTTTTGCCAATCCTTGCCATTACGTCTACATCGGATACCAATTGGTCATCGACGATGCCACCCAGATAAGGGAAATTTTCCACCTGTTCCAGAGTTTCTCCATCAAGCCTGATTGGGTTGGTGTTCTTAGTGTTGTATGTGAAGATCTTGCTCTCTCCCTTGTGTATGTCAAGGTCTACTGATGCTGTTGCACTGGCTGTCTTTACAAGCATTTGTTTCCTTGTATGGTATAGAATAGCTGAATCATCTGCGAAGTCCAAATCATTTAACCATATTCAAACTGTATTGAATTTTTGTGATACTTTTTCTCCAGTTGTCCATTGCTTGCTTGAGCACAGTATAATCTTGACAAACATTAGGTAGATGGTGATCTCCAGCTATGTCAAATCGCCTAATGGTTCTCATGTCTTCCATTGACCTTCTGAATTTCTTAGTGGTACAAATATGATCGATATGGTGCTCTGTAGTGTGATCCGGTGAAACTCATGCAGCTAAGTGAGACTTTCCACCTGTTCTAGACTTTGTCCATCAAGACTGATTGGGTTGGTCTTCTCCGTATTGTATTTGAATATCTAGATTTCTCCCTTGTGTATGTTGAGGCCTACTGATTTAGAGGCCACTGCTACAATGGTTGTCTTCACCATTGGACTTACACTTCAATGTTTATATTCCCAAGAACTTGCACCATAACGTGTTAAGATACCTGAATTATATGTAAGAGTCAATTTAAACAAACTAGGATATGAACAAAAACAAATTGCATTTGGGTAATGAATCTGGATTACCGTAGTACTTCTTATCAGTAAATATGAACCCTAAAGACACATGACGGCTTGAACTTAGAGTTCAATGAACTATGTATGCTCTTAATATGACTGAGTTAAAAACAATATTATGATTCGTTTCAACTGTGATTTGAACGATGGAGGAAGACGTGTATTCGGTATTTGATTTTACTTGGTCATTTTATTTCATAAATGTTTACAGTAATTTCCAAATCACAACTACTCTTCAATAAGTAAGTGTGCCCATGAACATGAGAACTATAGATGTTGTTTCCTTCACTAATGATGAACTCACCTGGATAGTAAGTCCCATTGTTATCTGGTTTCAGCTTTCTTTTAAACACAAAGCTGTTGGATACACTTTTAAATGTCAGGGTAGTGCGTATACTATTTCTAATTGTCATAAACATAGTAGTTATTAAAATATCAAAAACTTTCTATTGGTTAATGGAATTCAGCAGATAACCATTCTTCATTTATTCTTCAATCAGAAGTGCAAAATCGACTTGAACATGATAGGTCGGATCTTAGAAAACTCTTGGAATCTTCCTTACTGTCAATAAATAATGGTAGATTCACGTGATTGATTTCTAACAGTTCGAATTTGACACTCAAATGATAATCTTTAATACCTATTGTGCTGTTTGAATGAATTGATGATGCCTTTGTACTTGTTGAATGCTCGAATTCGAATTCGAAATACAGTACATTTATTTGTGGTTATCCAGTACTTCTTGATCCGATTACGTTATTTCTGGGATTCTTAGTTCATACTATAATTCAAATACTTCTAATTATCATACCTATACATACTGATTTTACTTCTGCATCTGATTATGCACAACATATACAACACCAGATCTGATTAAGAACTGAGGTTCGTATATATATTGGTTGCATTGTCAGAAATAACAGAAATGTATTCCAGACAGGTGTCGTGTTTCGGAATTTTATATATAACTCAGTCGTTCAGTTCGAAAGTTCGATAGAAATTAACGTTGTACGTTATTCAAGTCAATGAAGTAACACAACTGAATGATTAAAAACACTTTACAAATACCAATGTAAATTATTTAGAGATAATGAATACATGACAGAAATATATTTGATTATAATCACAATTGATTGATCACTGGGTGGCGATCAATCTCATGCGTGTCTAGTCCTTATTAGTGCAGATCGAATGCTATCGATCACGTTGCAATGTGGCCACCAGTATAGGTGACTCGACACTGCGGGCACTATACATTGAGATTAGGTGGTGGTTTGGAGGTAGTCGACAGGAAACCCACTTGATTCCCTTAAACAAAAGATTTTCATCATATGCCTAAATCGGTGAGCATCACAATTGTCAAAACAACCAAGTACCACACACAACCATCAATAAGAATAAATCATATTGGTGAGAATATAATTTACGGTCGACCCTTGAGCGACGCTAAATTGACTTTGAGTGTATCCAATTAATAACTAAAACCAAATGAACGTTATCAACCAGTGTGTGGAGGATTGGAATTATGATTTACAGTTGATGGTTAGTGTTAGGAATTAGAGTAAGGGTTTTCATCACGAACTGGCATCAGCTTCAATGCCAAAACTCTATTTAGTCAAATGGATGGGTGAATTTCGGGCCGAAATCTGACACCTGTTATCATATACCTGATTGGTTTGCCCATAAATTATAGTCTCGCTATCATATTCATTCAGAATTCGTTTATGCGTTACCGGATATACAATCATTTTTCTGATGATTCCATAGACCAACTATTGCAATCAATGACGCGAAGATGGAAATGCCTCTTGATATGCAAACCATGAGAGAGAACAGTGGTACTGCTCCTTGTAAAATTTCACGTTATTATTTCAATACGTTCTCTGATTTAATTCCATTTTATTCCATAGATAAGCCGAACTCCATCAAATATCTTGATAACATAGATAAGAATGAAGTGGGCAAATCAAGAGGAATACAGAAGCGTCACTTACCACAAACAAACAGTTGTATAGCATGAAAAGCGCTTCCAATTGTTTTGTGAGAATGTTTAGTTCGTATTTGTCAGTTTGATGATAATGGATCGACTATAAAAGAATGTTGACAGATATTCGATTTTACTATTGAAGTGTTATGATAGATGATGTGTGATTTGTCACAAAATATGCGACTAATTATCTTCATTCTAACTGAGATGCGTCAATGTAGTAAATAGTTGTGATGTGTGTGTAATGTTTGTTTTTCTATAACTGGAATCATGCATATTACAGCTATTTTCATCGTTTTGTTTTCCATGTTGTCAATTCAAATGATGGTGGAACATTTACTGTTGTTGTGTGATGAATGTATTTGCGTTTACTTCTATGTGTGTATATACTACTAAGTAGAGAAGTGGTTTCTATTTTTATATTTCACATGAGTATTCTCATGTATACGAGTGTTCAAATGAAATGAATCAGTTGATTTAATTTGTTATAACAATAGTATAGAATATTGTCATGTCAATGATGAAGCAAAAGTAACCGTTGACAATGATCAAGTGTATTTTATTGGCGAGAATAATCAGAAAATAAGTGGATTATTCCACACCATATGATATAATCATGGGTGAATGATGCATTGACGATTCTGGATCCGTGAGATTCCCATCCTACAAGTTCATTTCTAGCTACTCTGGACAGCATTACAGCAACTCCCTGAGTGTGTGGAGCATTTTCCTTTTCGTGACCGGAGTACAACATCAACTCTCCCGTATCCAGCTTTTGTTGTCCAGCTCGGGTCCAATGGGCTTCGCTGATTCCCAGTATTGACCAATTGTTTCTCCTCATTTCCGTTGCTATTTGACTAGTCGTCGCAGTTTCCCACATCCTGCGGACGTTCCATGTACTTAAGTAAATGAGTGCTCTGGTTGTTAGGACGGGCATCGGCCTCGTGGTTTCCGAAGGAACTTGGCTTTCATCATGATGCGTTGTAGTTCTTCTAGATCAAGAACTTCTAAATCTCAGGGCAGAGTTCACATACTTACTTACTTACTTACTTACGCCTGTTACTCCTAATGGAGCATAGGCAGCCGACCAGCATTCTCCAACCCACTCTGTCCTGGTCCTTCTTTTCTAATTCCATCCAATTCTTGTTCATTTTTCTCATGTCTATTTCCTTTTCTCGGTGTAATGTGTTCTTCGGTCGTTCTCTTCTCTTTTAGCCTTCAGAGTTCCAAGTGAGGGCTTGCCTTGTGATGCAGTTCGATGTTTTCCCCAATGTGTATTCTATCCGCTTCCAGTGGTTCTTCTTGCTTTCTTCCTCCGCCGGAATCTGATTTATTCTCTCTCACAGTTGGTTGTGGCTAATAGTATCCGGCCAACGGATCCGAAGTATTTTACATAGATAACTGTCAATAGACACCTGTATCTTTTGGATGATGGTTTTCGTAGTTCATCAGGTTTCCATCCCATACATTAGAACGTTATTGACATTTGTATCGGAAATTCTGACCTTGATGTGGGTTGACGGTTGTTTTCAGTTCCAGATTTTGTTCATTTGTAAATATGTTGCTCATGCTTTACCGGTCGTCGCCTTCTCATCTTCATCGGATCCACTGTGTTCACCAATGATGCTGCCGAAATATGTAAAGGTTTTTACCTCCTCCAAATCTTCTCCGTCAATTGTGACTGGATTGGTGCATGCTGTGTTGTATCGGAGAATCTTGCTTTTCCCTTTGTGTATCTTGAGACCTACTGCTGCTGAGGCTGCTGCTACACTGGTCGTTTACTTCTGCATTTGTTGTCGCAATTACGATAGAAGAGCCAGATCATTTGTGGAGTCTAGGTCGTCTAGCTGCATCCTACATGTCCACTGTATCCCGCGTTTCCCTTCAGATATTGACGTCTTCATGATCCAGTCGATCACCAGGAGAAATAGAAAGTGTAAACAAAATTGCTTGACACTGGTCTTTACCACGAACGAGTCTGTCATAGTCCTCCATGCACAATTTTGCAATTTAATCTATCATAGGCATTCCGTATGATATTAACTATCTTCTGAGGCACGCCGTAGTATCGAAGAAGCTTCCATAGTGTTGTTCTGTCCACGCTATCAAATGCTTATTCGTAGTCAATAAAGTTGATGTAGAGTTATGAATTCCATTCAATTAATTGTTCCACAATGATCCGTAGAGTTGCGATTTGGTCTGTACACGATCTATCCCTACGGAATCCTGCCTGTTGGTCTCCGAGTTGGGCGTCTACGCAGTCCTTCATTCTGTTTAATAATACCCTGTTGAAGACTTTTCACGGTATTGAGAGAAGAGTGATGCCCCTGTTGAAGGCTTATAGGTTTCCAAATCTCTCACCATTTTCGTTCCTTTCTCCAAGTCCATGTCGTCCCATGATGTCTTCATATCCAGTGTTGTCCGTTCCAACCTTGGCATTGAAATCTCCCATCAGAATGGCCAAGTCCTTTGTTGGGCACTTTTCGATGATTGACTGCAGCCTATTGTAGAATTGATCTTTAGCGTCTTCATTGTAGTCGTTGGTAGGCGCATAGCATTGGATGATGTTCATTGTAATGCCCTCTTTCTTTGTTTTGAAGGACGCTTTGATGATCCTTGATGCATGAGATTCCCATCCTACAAGTGCATTTTGTGCTTGTTTGGACAGCATCAATGCGACTCCTTGTGTATGTGGGGCATTCTTCATGGCCGGAGTATAACATAGTTTCGATTATTTCTTCATGTTAGAGTTGTTTTAGCGAGTTAGTTTTCTACGTGATGGAATCGCTAACCTCATGCCCAACCCTTCTATTTTACCCGAACTTGGGACCGGCAGTAACTCTAGAAGAGCTACAGGTGGAGTCAATGAAGCCTTAGCCATATGAAAATTCAACCCTCCTTTGTGTATTCAAAAACAGCTTGTTCTCACCTCTAACCTACCCTGGTAATATTGCCTCATTATCTTGAGTGATTAGGTTTCAAATTGTATTCCCATTATTATTATTATCCTTGTCTCCTCTTACCCCATTTCCAGTCCAGTTGACCTTTTATTTTTTTTTATATAAATGTTCTTAACAAGTATATTATGTATGATCAGATTGTTCGAAATGTATTACGCTAATATATCATCATCACATAGTTCTGATAATCTTCGTCTTCTTATTATACACTAGTGAAATTTCTCAGACGGACTAATTGCTTTAAATCAAAAATTAATCAATCAATTAATCAATAATAATAGGGATAGGGGAATATATGACTCATCTGACACCTGTTCGACTATCTGCATGTTTGACTAAGCAGATAACCAACCAATCATTATCATTCTTGCCCACACATCACCTCTCTCGCAAAGTTTGATCGTATGATTTCACTTTTGGGTCTAATTGTAAAACTCTGGTTTGTTACCGTTCTGTGAATGATCTTCGGCTAGCTTCTGATTTCAACCGATTTTTTCTCATTTCAACTTGTGGTGGTAGTGGTGGCATATTAAATGTATCACATAATACTGAGTTTAGATGACTCATAAACACTTTTTCTATCTCTCAGTTCATTCATGTGTCTAATAATTAGTGTATTTTCGACCATCACTTCATACAATACCGTCTGACGTCTTTTATTTACACACCCAAATGTTTATTTTGGTTTGTCAGGACAGAAATCACGTGCATAAACTAAGTCACCTGTTTTGAATTCACGAATCTTCGGGCAATTCCATTTCTTGTTTTTCTTTGTAGTTCACTCATTCTGTCTTTCGAGATCAAAACATCGAGAAATGTCCTAATTGGTCAACCAAACATTATATCGGCTAGTGATTTTCTGTCTTGACAGTCTACACTAGGTGTAATTCTATAGAAAATTAGAATATGTTTCAGAGCCTCTTCTACGTTATCTTTTCCCATCTTCCCGGAGCAAAAACTCCCAAATACCAAACCAATGACAAACAGAAACCAAAATATCCGAAAAGAATGATATAAACAAACAAGTTCAAAGTTTAAGTAAAACAAATACATCCAAAAGGCACAGTAAAATTATTGATGTACAATAAGAAGGTTCTAATCAGTCAAATGTCTACAGTTCTCCCGTAACACCCATATCAATTCGCAGCTCAACAGGTTTACCATTTAAAAAGTTAGTTACGTATATCCTTTTAGACAAGAATTGAACACGTCTTGTGGTCAGAACAACATTCGAATTATGTGTTATCTCTCGTGACGTCTGCGTGTTGTTTCCTTTACGGAACTTTGCTGACGGTCGGCAATCTTCGGCCTACTTTTACAACATACTTGAGCATGAACATATTTACCACATTAAAAACAAACTTTTTAAAATAGAAAGCATTGCCAGAATGACACTTACCGGATCGCCAACAAGACATTTTGGGTTTCATATGATTTGGGATTCCTTGAGAGTACCAATCCTTATTTCTGTTAAAAGATTTCCGCAGAACATTAACTTCCATATGTTCATTGTTCCTTCTTATTAGATTTGTGTCATGCTTCAAATTAACCATACTTTGACATTCTTCAGATACTGATTGCAGACTGATATTAGGATCGTGTTCGATCTTCACTAAAATCCATGTTCTGATATCTGCATCTACTGCAGATTGTAACGCACAGACAAAAATGAGGCATTTAAACTGATATGAGGACATTTCCTGTAAACGAAACCACTCACATTCCCAGTTCCCGATGCTTGTGTACGTCATATAATCGTCCTATGCATTTTTCACAAGCTGGAGGCATTGCTATCTAGTGTGAAAAACTGATGATCGTTCACCAAATATACATGTCAGACACTCTTCTATTTCTCTGAAGGTTATGTCGGTTAGCTTCTTTGGGAGGATACGATTACAGAACTTTTCATGTTCAGACACTACGAGCTTGCGCAATAATAATCTGAGTTTCGAACCTTCGTTCCACTCTTTACACTCATTAATAAACAAATCCTCATGGCGTTTAAACCATGCCTCAGAAGTAATTTCACATTCTGGATCGAATCTAAATTAATTTATTGAATTCGCAATAGAATTCGGAGTCATAGTGAAATCAGATACATCGATCCTTGGTGATATTGACATACGTTTGAGCAATAATTCGATAACAGAATTTTTCTGTTGCAATAAAGTTTACACATCATCCATTATATTGTTACAGAATCCACTTTAACTGAATAAATAGGCGTAGATCAGTTTTAAACACGTTACTTACTTACTTACGACTGTTACTCCTCGTGAAGGAGCATAGGCCGCTCACCAGCATTCTCCATCCAACCCTGTCCTTCCCAATCCTTTTCAGTTTCTTCCAGTTCCTATTCATCCTTTTCATATCTGCTTCTAATATCCGACGTAATGTGTTCTTAGGCCTTCCTGTTTTCCGTTTCCCTTCAGGATTCCAAGTTAGGGATTGCTCCGTGATGCAGTTTGATGATCTCCACAATGTATGTCCTATCCATTTCCATTGTCTTTTCCTAATTTCCTCTTCAGCTGGAAGCTGGTTTGTTCTCTCCCACAGTAGGCTGTTACTGATGATATTCGGTCAATGGATGTTGAGTATGTTGTGTAGACAACTATTTATAAATACTTGTACATTCTTGATGATGGTTTTTGTAGTTCTCCAAGTTTCAGCTCCATACAGTAGAACTGCCTTGACGTTGGTATTGAAGATTCTCACTTTGATATTGGTTGAAAGTTGTTTTGAGTTCCATATGTTCTTCAATTGTAGGAATGCGACCCTTGGTTTGCCGATCCTCGCCTTTACGTCTGCATCTGAACCTCCTTGTTCATCGATGATGTTTTGCAGGTATGTGAAGGATTCTACATCTTCCAGAGTTTCGCCATCAAGAGTGATTGGATTGCTGTTCTCCGCTTTGAATTTGAGGACCTTGGTTTTCCCTTTGTGTATGCTGAGGCCTACTGATGCAGAGACTGCTGATACACTGGGTGTCTTTGTCTGCATCTGTTCGTGTGTATGCGATAGGAGGGCTAGGTCATCTGCGAAGTCCAAATCGTCTAATTGATTTTGAGCTGTCCATTGTATTCCGTGTTTTCCTTCAGATGTCGAGGTCTTCATAATCCAGTTGACCACCAGAAGAAAGAGGAAGGGGGAGAGTAAACAGCCTTGTCTGACTCCAGTCCTTACTTGTAATGCATCTGTCAGCTGTCCTCCATCCAGGACACTGCACTGTAGTCCGTCGTATGAGTTCCGGATAATATTGACAATCTTCTCAAGAACTCCGTGGTGTCGAATAAGTTTCCATAATGTCCTCCTATCTACACTGTCGAATGCCTTTTCATAATCAATGAAGTTGATGTATAGTGATGAGTTCCACTCAACTGATTGTTCGACGATGATCCGTAGTGTTGCAATTCGGTCTGTGCATGATCGATCCTTACGGAATCCAGCTTGTTGATCTCGAAGTTGGGCGTCTACTGCATCTTTCATCCGGTTCAGCAACACTCTGTTGAAGACTTTCCCTGGTATTGACAGTAGTGTTATGCCTCTGTAGTTTTCACATTTGCTCAGGTCTCCTTTCTTTGGAATCTTGATTAGGTGTCCTTCTTTCCAGTCCATCGGCACTTGTTCCTCCTCCCAAATCTTTTTGAATAGAAGGTAAGGCATGTTTGTAGTCAATTCGATGTCTGACTTTAGTGCTTCAGCTGGTATATTGTCGGGTCCTTCTACTTTCCCGTTCTTGATTTGTCTGACGGCCATTCTGATTTCTTCCTTCGTTGGTGGGTTGACGTCTATGGGAAGATCTGTGTGTGCCGCTTCGATGTCCGGTGGATTCATTGGAGCTGGCCTATTCAGGAGTTCCTCGAAGTATTCTACCCATCTGTTACGTTGTTGTTGAATTTCAGTGATTGACCTGCCTACTTTGTCCTTGACCGGTATCTCTGGTTTACTGTATTTTCCTGATAGTTTCTTCGTTGTATCGTAAAGTTGTTTCATATTTCCTTCTCTTCCAGCTTTTTCCGCCGTCGTCGCTAGTTCTTCCACGTATTTCTTCTTGTCAGCTCTAATGCTTTTCTTCACTTGCTTGTTTGCTTCTATGTATTCAGCTTGTGCTTGGACTTTCTCTGCTCGTGTTCGGCTGTTGTTTATTGCTGTCTTCTTGTTCTTCCTTTCTTTGATCTTGTCCAGTGTTTCTGTAGAGATCCATTCCTTATGATGCTTCTTTTTGAGGCCCAGAACAACCACTTGACACGTTGAAGTTAATGCTTCATTGATACTTTCCGAGTTGTCCTCCATAGTAGTTTCTTCTTCCTTCAGTAGATCCTGTAAGGCTTGGAACCTGTTGTTGAGAGACATCTTGAATTCATTGAGTTTGTCAGTATCTCTAAGGAAGGCTGTTTTGAACCTTTGTAGTGCTGATTGTCCAGTTCTTCTTTAGCTTCAGTATTAAATTGACCATTGTCCTTCGGAATTTTTTATTGATGCAAATATGATCTATCTGGTTCTCTGTAGTGTGGTCCGGTGAGATCCATGTAGCCTTGTGTATACGCTTGTGTTGAAATATAGTGCCCCCTATGATCAATTTGTTGAATGCACATAGATTTGCAAATCTTTCTCCATTCTCGTTTCTCTCACCCAGTCCATGTCGTCCCATGATATCTTCATATCCGGTGTTGTCTATTCCGACCTTGGCATTTAGATCTCCCATCAGAATGGTGAGGTCCTTTCTTGGGCATTTCTCAATGATTGACTGCAGCCGTTGTTAGAAGGGGAATCGGTCCCGTGGCTTCCGAAGGAACTCGGCTTTCAACATGAAGCGTCATAATTCTTCTAAAAGAAGACCTTCTAACTCCCAGGGCAGAGTTAAAATGGTTTGAATTATTTCTTCTGGTAAGCGTTTTCTTAGCGAGTTAGTTTTCTACGGAATGATGACGCTAACCCCATTCCCAACCCTCCTCATTTACCCGGGCTTGGGACCGGCAGTAACTCTAGAAGAGCTACAGGCGGAGTTTTTCAAACACGTCGCCAATGCTATAACGCTCGTGTCTACTTCGTCTACAAGTATGGGACGTCAATTTAACTTAGACGAATATCTACACTAGATTCCCTCACAGTATCTATTCTACAGGACTTCAACACAACTCAGACGATAAAGAACACGTGATTAGCCGGACTAGAAACTAAATACATTTCCACACCGAAACCCGACATAATCCAACAATAATGAACAATCAATCAATCAATCAATCAATAATAAGGATAAGGGAATATATTACTCATTTGTCACCTGTCAGACTATCTGCATGTTTGACTAAGCAGATATCCAATCATTATCATTATAATTCCCGCCCACACATCAATTACATTGATCATCCTTCATGAAATACACCTAGTCCCCATGAATCTCATCCTGTTTACTCTCACTCAACTGAACGACCACAATTACAGATATCCAAAATAATTGTTACGTACATTCACAGCTTGTGTACTTCAACGTTATTTTGGTCAATCGACTGTCTTTATTATTTTGAAGTATGTCCTCATGATTTCGAATGAACAGTTACCTGTCATAATTGAGGAAATACTGTTGGACATACTGAGTATGCAACCACTCATAATGTCCATTTCATCTCTGTATGACCATGACCTGATTATGTGAATGTAAGTGTGACTATAACACGTGTGAGCTAGTGATGTTGACAGATGTGAGTAGCATGTATTATCAATCGAATGTGAAATACCTGAAACAGGAGATTGAGAAGATCAAACAGAAGGGTATGTAAACAGAGAATGATTAGTGTGGAACCAGAAGCACAATGAATTCTGAGACGACTGATTGACATTTGCAGAAGGAACAGTCAAGTTTGAGACAATCAATTGACATTTTGCAAATGCAGTATATACGTAATGGTAATCAGATATTTTCAAAAGATATTCTGTAATTTTCTTCTCAAATACACTTGTGTTCTCGTTCACTACATCACAATTACCACTAACAAATGCATAAACATACATCAAACCAAATTTTAACTACTGATAATGACAAGTTGTATACTTTTGAATTTGATAATAAAATGAAGCCGAACCATAGTGACAATGATAATGTTGATGAAGTGATTCATTAGTGCTTCTGAATTAAGTAAGTTAACTTTGTGTTGTGCATGAATTTCTATTAGAAATGCACAGTACAATGAATAAATTAATTCAGACGAATCCCAATTAATTTTACTATTTCACTTGATATTCTGTAAAAATTCACATTGAAAGTGAACGATACATTGACTCACATTTATTACCAGTTCATACAGCATACACAATATCATCATCTCAGTGAACAATATTGAAATGTTATTGTCAAGTGAATCTTGGACTAAAGTATTCATCCTGTGCAATTGTAGTTTTGTAGTAAGTATCATTACATGTGTTCACCTCATATGGTTATTCATTTCATCTTACTTATACAATCCAGGTGTTCGGTGTTGTTCTGTTAACACTCGGAATTCAACCACAAATCACATTAAATCAATTCAGAACTATACTACAAAATGCGAAACCAGAGATCTTCCTGGTTGTCAGTATTTCAGGAGGTCTCGGTGTACTAGGATCATTTGTTGGCATTTATGGACACTCGAAGAAACAGAAAGTGATCATATATATGGTAAGTGATACGTGCAATGTGGACAAATGTATTTCACTCATACCTCTGTTTAGAACATTTTCGTTTTGTTTATCGTGACTTGTATGTGGATCGGTATGGCATTTAAAGTAGCTTTAACGGAAGACAGGGTTTGTTTGATATTATTTGAACCTAATGGACCATGAAACACTGATCTTCATATCTCTATAGTTCCCTACGTTAGCTAACAGCTCGCTAAGTTCTACTGTTAAAGAATATGATAAACGAGTTGATTATCGGATGGAGTTTGATGAATTACAAAAGAGTGTAATTTATAATCAAATGCAAAATTCTGATGACTTCTCTATAGTTTCACTGCTGTGGAGCAAACTCGGAGAATGATTATCGACATCCAACTAATTATAGGTCAGTTCTAACACCTGCTTCATGTAAATACGACAGATTCGCATATCCTAAAGTAAGTCAATAATTTTGCAAATTTTTAACCAATTAAATTACCTGATTTCATCACTTTAAAAATCCCCATAGAATATTCATTTTTGTATTACCTTACGGTTTACAACCGAATATTGAATGTTCAGCTCATTCACTAGGAACACGTTGAATAAACTGTCATGTGGAATAATTTTATTTATTGAGCAGAATTTCAACCGCGTTTTAAGAACATTTGTTAACATGTTGTTAAGTGATTTCCAATATAGGATTCATCGCATAATGCTATTCATCTAGGCAAATACAATCATCTTGATTGCGTGGTTTTCGATGACACACACGAATATCTATAAGAGTTCCGTATTTGTAGATTGGGTGACATTAAATTCATTGGAGTTGTTGTCATTACTGACACTTCTGTTCCTCTCATCACCACACTATAACTCAATCATATTAGTAAGTGACTAGTGGTAAAATCAAAACCATTAACTCAAACTCAACGAACTGCTCTACCGACACCACAATAGATTGTTGGCTGTGACAAGACAGTTCTGCATTGTTCTCAGTCTTATTCTCATTCACAACAACATCACAGTCTAATCACTTTCACTACGCTTCACATTTCAATTGTCCATGTAGATTTATTGAATGAATAATAAACACTTCATTGTAATTCCTTATTCACTTTTTCTCATCATTTCATCAAAGGGATGTGTATCAGCGATAATTGAATATACACAAACTTATCTAAATATCATCATGTATCTATGTTTCACATTCGGGATTATTCAAGCGGTCTACTTGATATTGTCATTTCTGAGGATACGTAAATTTGAAGGTGACGATTTTCTATCTGCATAATGGTCTTATTGAGATCAAATGTTGAGAAGATATTCAATGGAACCTAATGTCAATCAAACAACCGAATCATTGACTATTCATTACTCATTCTATTGTCATTTGATCTTACTTATTTGTACACCATTATACACTATTCTTATCAACTGAATAATGAATTTCTTCATTATTTTCTTTGTTTAAATCAACTTGTTACTGGGAGGTATTTCGAAAGAAAACAAACAAAAAATGAGAAACGTTTATTCTCTTTAACACAATCGATAGGAAATTTCAACTAGAGTATATCGGTCAATCAGATCCGAAGTGTTCATACAACGAACACAAGGTACTTGATCGAAAGGAGATTATCATTATTATTATTACCATAAGGTATTGATTAGATTTTAAGATAGATGGTTGTCATCTCTTCAGAGTGTTTACTGTGAAGGTGTAATAGCAATGATAAATCGATCTAGTTGTGGTTATTGAGAGTTGCATTATGATTTAATGATGGAAAGTCATTGGTTGACTATAACACTGAGAGCATTGTGGATTGATTGAGCTGTAGAAGTAAAACGATAGGTGTATTTTTCTTTGAAATTCTATTTGTGACATTTTGTTACAATATCTGTTGAGCATAGTTGGAGATGTGAAAACCACACAAAATATATACTTATTTTTCAGGATGATAGTAATACTCACTTAGTATTGTTTTGCTTGTATTTTCCCATAGAGGCTTATGATTGCAATTGATCAGTCTGTTATTAGCATATGTGCATACTCAGAGTATGCCTCGATATTGCTTTAATTAATTAGCTTTTATAAGCAAAGATGGATAGTGGCTAGCTGTGGAATCCAGTTTGACGCGCACACAATTCTGGTTTTCCAAGTTCTATGGCTATTGCAAGGAAGATGCAATCTAATTGTCTTTGGAAGACTTCTACTTCCTTGTAGGTGACTTTGAATGCAGAGTCTGTCTTGATTGATTGACCTGTGTTCACAAGGTGTTCGATTATTGAACTTTTTATTGAACCGTTTCCTTCTATTCTTAGGCACGCCGACCAAAGTTCTTGAGATCTTTCGGGTAAATTACGCATCGTACGACCTATATACCTAGCTCCACATGATCAGGAAAATTAGTAAATCTATCTTTTGACGAATATTTAAGCCATTAACAATCAAATGTTTATTAAGTTCACCTTGTATATAAATGCTTCTTATACATTTGTTGATTTAACCTCACTGTCACCATATCAAACAGAAGTTTCTAATCAATATTATTATTAGAATGAACATCAACTCTGAGATGTAGGTGCATCCAGTTGACGAGTATAAAATAGGACGAAACGCGCGTCAAACTGGATTCCACAGCTAGCCACTATCCCTCTTTGCTTATAAAAGCTTGTGAATTAAATCAATTTCGAGGCATACTCATAGTATGCACATATGCCAATCACAGACTGATCAATTGCAATCATAAGCCTCTATGGGAAAATACAAGCAAAACAATACTAAGTGAGTATTATTATCATCTTGTAAAATAAGTATATATATTAGCAATTGTACGGCATTGAAAATGAATTCCACAAAGAGACAAGACTTCGCTTAACCAATCTTTCATGTTTAATGGGTTATAGGTGCATTCCGTTTAAAATATTCAAAAAGGTAAAACTAAATTCCAACTAATACCATCTAATAATTACTATTTGTATGTATGTATGCATGCACATTGTGGAGGTTACCTAAGCTGCGTGCAAACTACATTTTGAACATAGAACTATAATTTATTAGTTAAGGGAACAATCTATTTAATGTAGAGGTAAAGTTGATGGTTGAGCGAAATCGTTACTTGGAAATTTCATCACAGTTTTACATTTTATCAAGATGTATGGAATCTTACTACTGAAATACCGATTCATTCTGTTACGTTTGATTCTATGTAAATCAGTGAGAAATCAGTGATGTTATCATTCACTGTAATTGATGAACAATGATGAGATTTCAAAATTGGCTTCCGCAATGCCAAAATATCTCATGATCCATGCAGTGTGGATTGTGTAATGAAAGACTCTAAAATTATGTAAACTAGTTGGTACTACAAATATCCCAGTTCCAATTCCCTTCTGAAAGAAAATTGCATAGCACTGAATCCACCAACCAATAACATTCAAAGCCATTGGTTTATGGAATTCATTACTAATTATTGATCGATTAATATGGAATGTTGTGTTTTATTGCCTAGTTGAATGTTCAACACTTCCATAACTGACATGGATTGTAACTTGAAGAGAACACACATTCCTACCATACGTCAGTGAATTTACAATAAATGTTTCACAAACCAATCAAGCAAATAATGAATAATCTTGATTGTGCGTTAAAGTAGGTCTGTCGCAATCAAGTTGGGTTTCATGAATGTTCAGTCTGGATGTGAACTCCTGTTTAACACGAGAAATCATAAATATATATCGAATTTTGGTTATCACAATATCTGGAATTGTCTACGCTTTCAAATATAAAAATCTTCTGAACATCAGTCGTTACTGATTAGGATGAATAAATTGAGCTTCATTTCTCTCTGCTCAGTCTAGAATGATGACGATTCCACACATGTTGATATTTTGAACCGTGTAAATATATTAGATTTACCGGTTGATAAAGCGAGAATGATCCGTGATCAATATAGTGAATTATCTATCGTCGTTTTTATCGTTACCGTTTAGTGTCGCTGTCAATGAGGAGGTGGAGATGGTGCTGTACAGTGGGTTCCGTTGTTGGGTCTAGAGATGATTATTAATTTGGTGTTTTCTGTCGCAGTTAGTGGACGTCTAGTGGACTGATCTGATGAGGTGGTGTTGCTTGTGATATTCACTGTTGAGAAGAGAGATGAGAGAAGACGCGAGACGTTCCGAGTGCAGGATGGACACCGCATTGACATTTTCTGTGACGTGGGGACAGTTATATAGCTCAGAGTGTCAACGGAATCCACATTTCGATGAGGAACAAGGCATAGAATGCGACATGGAATAAAGGTGCACTATGGGAAGAACGACTGAAAGAGCGACTGTTTAAAGAGGGAACAAGTGTGGTGTATGTTAATGAGGCTGACAGATGTAAGTAGTACGTGGCAGCAATCGGAGTGGAATGCCAATCAGAAGAAGTTTCATATGAAGAGAATAGGAAGGAAACGAATAACAATTAAAATAACAACTGAATTAAAACAATAATGCAGTATGTAAAAACCAATGCAAAGAAGTTGTGCCAATATGTACTCAATATGTGATTTGCATATTCTTTTTACTAAATCACTGTATGATTTTTTATCAAACAAAACAATTGGGTTTCTGTCCACGTGAGTATTCGTTCACTGCACTACAAATATTTAAGATAAATGAAATATTTTATTATGTTTATTGACAGATTCGAATGCCCAGAAATGAGATGACGCAATGAAGTTTTGTATGTGAATAACTCCTATGATTTCAGAATGGCAACAAAATCACTACTAGACATCATGGTTTTGACGTCACAAAACTGATCCCGCCTACATAAACAAGTTTTCGATAGTATTTGAATTAGTTGTGTTTAAATTATGATTATTGATGTTAAATGAAATGGAATATTGTTATCGTAATGCACATACTGACGATGGTACATGTAAAATATCCCACTATCATCAAATGAATTGATGTGGTTGCTTCATATACTTCTATCTAGATTGACGTAAATATTCATACATTAACACATCCCTGTAAACTGTTAATTGTCTAACCAACTATTCTTCAGTCGCAAACTCAACGTCAACAAATATCTCTCGTAACATATTCTTCACTTTTTTGTTCGATATAGTCATATGAAACAACATAACAACAATATTTATCTACCAAACACGAGATTATTCTGATTTGCTTACACTCCACTTAATTATTCCTTCTCGATTTCATACAACTCCATACACAATATAATCTTTCAGTAAACAAAGGGGTTTTTCATACATTTTAGTAATTCAATAATTGCACTGATGAGTCAATTGAAGCTAGAACACCGTGAAAAACCTGTAAGCAATGGACGGCCGTTTCATCCTAGTATGGAACTCTTCAACAGTGCACATCCACGATCACACCCCACGAGATTCGAACCCAGCTGTTCGATGGTGATCTAGCTTCCAATGAATCATCAATTCGATTGTTAGATTACTATAAACTCCGAAAAAGCCCCTCTCAGATTATAATCATCATATACTCACTAGTGACTGTTTCCAAGAGTCAGTGACGAATGAATATCTGTCGATACGGTTGACCTATTTCAACGCACAATCAAGATTATTCATTATTTGCTTGATTGGTTTGTGAAACATTTATTGTAAATTCACTGACGTATGGTAGGAATGTGTGTTCTCTTCAAGTTACAATCCATGTCAGTTATGGAAGTGTTGAACATTCAACTAGGCAATAAAACACAACATTCCATATTAATCGATCAATAATTAGTAATGAATTCCATAAACCAATGGCTTTGAATGTTATTGGTTGGTGGATTCAGTGCTATGCAATTTTCTTTCAGAAGGGAATTGGAACTGGGATATTTGTAGTACCAACTAGTTTACATAATTTTAGAGTCTTTCATTACACAATCCACACTGCATGGATCATGAGATATTTTGGCATTGAGAAAGCTAATTTTGAAATCTCATCATTGTTCATCAATTACAGTGAATGATAACATCACTGATTTCTCACTGATTTACATAGAATCAAACGTAACAGAATGAATCGGTATTTCAGTAGTAAGATTCCATACATCTTGATAAAATGTAAAACTGTGATGAAATTTCCAAGTAACGATTTCGCTCAACCATCATCTTTACCTCTACATTAAATAGATTGTTCCCTTAAGTAATAAATTATAGTTCTATGTTCAAAATGTAGTTTGCACGCAGCTTAGGTAACCTCCACAATGTGCATGCATACATACATACAAATAGTAATTATTAGATGGTATTAGTTGGAATTTAGTTTTACCTTTTTGAATATTTTAAACGGAATGCACCTATAACCCATTAAACATGAAAGATTGGTTAAGCGAAGTCTTGTCTCTTTGTGGAATTCATTTTCAATGCCGTACAATTGCTAATATATATAGTTATTTTACAGGATGATAATAATGCTCATTTAGTATTGTTTTGCTTGTATTTTACCATAGAGGTTTAAGACTGCAATTTATCAGTCTTTTATTGGCCTATGTGCATACTGTGAGCATGCCTCGATATTGCTTTAATTCACAAGCTTTATAGGCAAAGATGGATAGTGGGTAGCAGTGTAATCCAGTTTGATGCGCGTTTCGTCCTATTTGATACTCGTCAACTGGATGCACCTACATCTCAGAGTTGATGTTCATTCTAATAATAATATTGATTAGAAACTTCTGTTTGATATGGTGACAGTGAGGTTAAATCAACAAATGTATAAGAAGCATTTATATACAAGGTGAACTTAATAAACATTTGATTGTTAATGGCTTAAATATTCGTCAAAAGATAGATTTACTAATTTTCCTGATCATGTGGAGCTAGGTATATAGGTCGTACGATGCGTAATTTACCCGAAAGATCTCAAGAACTTTGGTCGGCGTGCCTAAGAATAGAAGGAAACGGTTCAATAAAAAGTTCAATAATCGAACACCTTGTGAACACAGGTCAATCAATCAAGACAGACTCTGCATTCAAAGTCACCTACAAGGAAGTAGAAGTCTTCCAAAGACAATTAAATTGCATCTTCCTTGCAATAGCCATAGAACTTGGAAAACCAGAATTGTGTGCGCGTCAAACTGGATTCCACAGCTAGCCACTATCCATCTTTGCTTATAAAAGCTAATTAATTAAAGCAATATCGAGGCATACTCTGAGTATGCACATATGCAAATAACAGACTGATCAATTGCAATCATAAGCCTCTATGGGAAAATACAAGCAAAACAATACTAAGTGAGTATTACTATCATCCTGAAAAATAAGTATATATTTTGTGTGGTTTTCACATCTCCAACTATGCTCAACAGAAATTGTAACAAAATGTCACAAATAGAATTTCAAAGAAAAGTACACCTATCGTTTTACTTCTACAGCTCAATCAATCCACAATGCTCTCAGTGTTATAGTCAACCAATGACTTTCCATCATTAAATCATAATGCAACTCTCAATAACCACAACTAGATCGATTTATCATTGCTATTACACCTTCACAGTAAACACTCTGAAGAGATGACAACCATCTATCTTGAAATCTAATCAATACCTTATGATAATAATAATAATGATAATCTCCTTTCGATCAAGTACCTTGTGTTCGTTGTATGAACACTTCGGATCTGATTGACCGATATACTCTAGTTGAAATTTCCTATCGATTGTGTTAAAGAGAATAAACGTTTCTCATTTTTTGTTTGTTTTCTTTCGAAATACCTCCCAGTAACAAGTTGATTTAAACAAAGAAAATAATGAAGAAATTCATTATTCAGTTGATAAGAATAGTGTATAATGGTGTACAAATAAGTAAGATCAAATGACAATAGAATGAGTAATGAATAGTCAATGATTCGGTTGTTTGATTGACATTAGGTTCCATTGAATATCTTCTCAACATTTGATCTCAATAAGACCATTATGCAGATAGAAAATCGTCACCTTCAAATTTACGTATCCTCAGAAATGACAATATCAAGTAGACCGCTTGAATAATCCCGAATGTGAAACATAGATACATGATGATATTTAGATAAGTTTGTGTATATTCAATTATCGCTGATACACATCCCTTTGATGAAATGATGAGAAAAAGTGAATAAAGAATTACAATGAAATGTTTATTATTCATCCAATAAATCTACATGGACAATTGAAATGTGAAGCGTAGTGAAAGTGATTAGACTGTGATGTTGTTGTGAATGAGAATAAGACTGAGAACAATGCAGAACTGACGGCAATCTATTGTTGTGCCGGTAGAGCAGTTCGGTGAGTTTGAGTTAATGGTTTTGATTTTACCACTAGTCACTTACTAATATGATTGAGTTATAGTGTGGTGATGAGAGGAACAGAAGTGTCAGTAATGACAACAACTCCAATGAATTTAATGTCACCCAATCTACAAATACGGAACTCTTATAGATATTCGTGTGTGTCATCGAAAACCACGCAATCAAGATGATTGTATTTGCCTAGATGAATAGCATTATGCGATGAATCCTATATTGGAAATCACTTAACAACATGTTAACAAATGTTCTTAAAACGCGGTTGAAATTCTGCTCAATAAATAAAATTATTCCACATGACAGTTGATTCAACGTGTTCCTAGTGAATGAGCTGAACATTCAATATTCGGTTGTAAACCGTAAGGTAATACAAAAATGAATATTCTATGGGGATTTTTAAAGTGATGAAATCAGGTAATTTAATTGGTTAAAAATTTGCAAAATTATTGACTTACTTTAGGATATGCGAATTTGTCGTATTTACATGAAGAAGGTAATAGTGATATCTTAGTTCTATCTGGATATGGATAGTCTTTGTACGATGACGCTCCACAGCAATAAAACTACAGAAAAGAGGTCATCAGAATTTTGCATTTGATTATAAATTACACTTTTTTGTAATTCATCAAACTCCATTCGATAATCAACTCGTTTCTCATATTCTTTAACAACAGAACTTAGTGAGCTGTTAGCTAACGTAGGGAACTATAGAGATATGAAGATCAGTGTTTCATGGTCCATTAGGTTCAAATAATATCAAACAAACCCTGTCTTCCGTTAAAGCTACTTTAAATGCCATACCGATCCACACACAAGTCACGATAAACAAAACGAAAATGTTCTAAACAGAGGTATGAGTGAAATACATTTGTCCATATTGAACATATCACTTACCATATATATGATCACTTTCTGTTTCTTCGAGTGTCCATAAATGCCAACAAATGATCCTAGTACATCGAGACCTCCTGAAATACTGACAACCAGGAAGATCTCTGGTTTCGCATTTTGTAGTATAGTTCTGAATTGATTTAATGTGATTTGTGGTTGAATTCCGAGTGTTAACAGAACAACACCGAACACCTGGATTGTATAAGTAAGATGAAATGAATAACCATATGAGGTGAACACATGTAATGATACTTACTACAAAACTACAATTGCACAGGATGAATACTTTAGTCCAAGATTCACTTGACAATAACATTTCAATATTGTTCACTGAGATGATGATATTGTGTATGCTGTATGAACTGGTAATAAATGTGAGTCAATGTATCGTTCACTTTCAATGTGAATTTTTACAGAATATCAAGTGAAATAGTAAAATTAATTGGGATTCGTCTGAATTAATTTATTCATTGTACTGTGCATTTCTAATAGAAATTCATGCACAACACAAAGTTAACTTACTTAATTCAGAAGCACTAATGAATCACTTCATCAACATTATCATTGTCACTATGGTTCGGCTTCATTTTATTATCAAATTCAAAAGTATACAACTTGTCATTATCAGTAGTTAAAATTTGGTTTGATGTATGTTTATGCATTTGTTAGTGGTAATTGTGATGTAGTGAACGAGAACACAAGTGTATTTGAGAAGAAAATTACAGAATATCTTTTGAAAATATCTGATTACCATTACGTATATACTGCATTTGCAAAATGTCAATTGATTGTCTCAAACTTGACTGTTCCTTCTGCAAATGTCAATCAGTCGTCTCAGAATTCATTGTGCTTCTGGTTCCACACTAATCATTCTCTGTTTACATACCCTTCTGTTTGATCTTCTCAATCTCCTGTTTCAGGTATTTCACATTCGATTGATAATACATGCTACTCACATCTGTCAACATCACTAGCTCACACGTGTTATAGTCACACTTACATTCACATAATCAGGTCATGGTCATACAGAGATGAAATGGACATTATGAGTGGTTGCATACTCAGTATGTCCAACAGTATTTCCTCAATTATGACAGGTAACTGTTCATTCGAAATCATGAGGACATACTTCAAAATAATAAAGACAGTCGATTGACCAAAATAACGTTGAAGTACACAAGCTGTGAATGTACGTAACAATTATTTTGGATATCTGTAATTGTGGTCGTTCAGTTGAGTGAGAGTAAACAGGATGAGATTCATGGGGACTAGGTGTATTTCATGAAGGATGATCAATGTAATTGATGTGTGGGCGGGAATTATAATGATAATGATTGGATATCTGCTTAGTCAAACATGCAGATAGTCTGACAGGTGACAAATGAGTAATATATTCCCTTATCCTTATTATTGATTGATTGATTGATTGATTGATTGATTGATTGATGGATTAATTGATTGACTGATTGACTGATTGATTGATTGATGGATTGATTGATTGATGGAATGATTGATAGATTGATTGATTGATTGATTGATTGATTGATTGATTGATTGATTGATTGTTCATTATTGTTGGATTATGTCGGGTTTCGGTGTGGAAATGTATTTAGTTTCTAGTCCGGCTAATCACGTGTTCTTTATCGTCTGAGTTGTGTTGAAGTCCTGTAGAATAGATACTGTGAGGGAATCTAGTGTAGATATTCGTCTAAGTTAAATTGACGTCTGTGGTGGTCCCCAAACAAAAGGAGCTTACACAAAATATTTTGATACTCTAGGTTAACACTGATATACCAAAACGGATTAATGATTAAGAAACCTAGATGTCTGTCCGTTAGTAAAAACAAAGGCAATGAAATACCGTTAGCAATACAAAAGGTATATTAAACAAACAGACGCTAACAGTTACTATAGAATGAATGTTACTTGTTAACTGCCTCGTGAGGACAACGACCACAAACTAAGTTCACTTGGTTGACAGGTGTTCCTCTGCAAGTGACTGCACCAAAGACGTAATGGGGAAGACGGAGTCCAATAGTATTATACAATAGTAATCCGTGCCAAAAGTCCAACGTTGAGTCGGAAGGCCTATAAGGATGTTATAATACTATTATAGTCTTCAATCAAAACGGTGGCCAATAAAACAGAAGAACAAACGGCGTAGGTATTGTTCTATATTTTAAACAACCCGGTAGTAGAAGTGTATATCATTCATCGAAACAATTATTATCGTCTTTTTAACAAGTGATACAGCAAAACAACAGATATTGGATAAAAATGTGGTTACAAATAAAGTGTGACAAATTAGAGAAAAAATGTGGTTTTTATTTTTGTTGTTACAAAAATCACTGAATATATGTCACCATATAACTCCCCCCCTAGGGCATGCGTCGGTGGAAGTATGCCCGACGTAAAACTTTAAATGCTTTGAAGGTAGGAGAAAATTACACAACGAAAAGGGTAAACAAATATTATTTTTTTTAAAAAAAATCATACGTGTATATATATTCAAGAACAAAATCTTTCTCTTGTAGTAAAGAGACTTTAATGTATATAAAAAGTTTAACAAGAATAACGCAGTGTATAATAATAATAATAATAATAATAATAATAATAATAATAATAATAATAGTATCATTAGTAATAACAGTAATTAAATTGAGAGTTCACTGAAGTGCAAATAGATGTATAAATTGTGTAAACAATTAGTGATAAACTGAACGAGTCCAACGAAATTGGATATATTTGCACAATTAATATTAAACATCATATGAAACGCATACACATGTAGAGAAAAACATAATGAATTTATCAATATTAGTAGTACACAAAAAAAATTTTTTTTTAAATGCTTGCAAAAAAAATGTTATTGGTAACTCTGCTAATATAGATATTTAATCACATTACAGGTAATGACAGAATAAAGGTTAAGTAATTAATTCAACATAACGTTTAGGGAAATGTACATGTCTTCCTGAACGAGTTGTTTTCGTAGAAGGTAAAGTGTCGGAACTAGGATTTAAGTTTGTGGGAACTGTAACCTTAGAACCGTCTGTTTTACGAAATATTGATTTCGTCGGAGTTGGTGAAGAATTATTTGGAGACACTGGGAGCTGCGTTGTGTGATCTCTGCTGTCTTTAGACGGCTTTCGGTTGTCATGTGTTTCAAATTCTATAAAAGCAGGTTTTATCCGGTCGATTGAAACTGTTTCTTTTTTTCCGTTCTTATTGATTGTGAAATATTTTGTTTGCCTCTCAACTACTTCATATGGTCCTTCATAAGGATGTTGTAGAGGGCGTCTTACTGAGTCAACACGAACAAATACAAATTTACACGTATTTAGATGCTTGCTAACTTGCTCTTTTAAGACAACTGGCCGAGGTGCAACAGGCTTAATGTTATTCATATGGCTCATTAGTCTTTCGCAAAAAGAAGTGGGATCCGTACATACGGGTTTGCCATTATGCGTCACTAGCTGCCCCGGTAAGGTTAAATTAGCTCCATAGACGAGCTGTGCAGGAGTACATTGTAGGTCTTCTTTAATTGTGGAACGTATGCTTAGTAAAATAAGAGGTAGAGATTCACTCCATCTAGAAACATCAGGTTGTACCATCAATGAGCTTTTTAGTTGTCTGTGGAATCGTTCCACTAGTCCATTCGCTGCTGGATGGTATGCTGTTGTAGTGATGTGATGGATTCCTAAAATGCGGGTGAATTCATTGAAGAGGTGAGATTGGAACTGTGAACCTCTGTCCGAAGTAACTGTAGAAGGTACACCAAAATTAGCGATCCATCTGTCGAGGAATACAGCAGCAACATTTTCCGCGGAGATATCTTTTATTGGGCATGCAATTGGCCATCTAGTAAAACGGTCCACTGCAGTAAAAATGTAAGTGAATCCGTTAGATGGAGGAAGAGGACCAACTAAATCAACATGAACATGTTGAAAACGATGGTCGGGTAGACTAAATGCTGACGGTGTTGTAATCGTATGTCTATGTATTTTACTGCGCTGACACTGTACACAAGTCCTGGTCCATTTTTTTATATTTGCATTCATCTTTGGCCAAACAAATCTTTCAGCAATCAGTTTCACAGTAGCACGAATCCCTGGATGGGATAGTGAGTGAAGACAATCAAAAACTCTTTTTCTGTACACTATTGGCACAAAAGGTCTGTGAGTTCCAGTAGAAGTATCACAAATGATAGTAGAGTCAGAATGCGGTATAGGAACACTTTTTAAGGACAAGCTCGAACTTTGTTTACAAGCATCAAGGTCGGGATCATCTGTCTGCAAACGTGCCATGTCTGATAAATCGATTCCTTTGGTGAAGGAAATTGCATCGACGTTGAAACGTGACAAAGTATCCGCAACAACATTTGACTCACCTTTTATAAACTGTATGTTGGTCGAAAATTGGGAAATATAATCCAACTGTCGCATTTCTCTAGGGGAATAACGGTCACTTTTCGCGTTAAAGGCATAGGTTAAAGGTTTGTGATCAGTGAGTATCACAAAGTCTCTGCCTTGCAGTAAATGGTTGAAATGTTTAACAGCTAGATAAATAGCCAATAGTTCTCTACCGAAGGTGCTATATCGAGTTTGGGTTGGTTCTAGCTTCTTTGAAAAGAAGGCAAGTGGTTTGACCTCATTATTAACTCGCTGTTGTAGTACTGCACCTACTGCTGCCTGTGATGCATCTGTACACAGGATTAGTGTTGCTTCCGGGTCAGGGCTTAAGTAGGTCAGCATGGTAGTAGAAGCGATTGCTGTTTTAGCTGCAGAAAAGGCATCTTTCGCTTGGGAGGGTAATATGAACTTTTTGACTTTACCTTTTAACACCTCCGTCAAAGGTTGTAGGATGTCTGAGCAATGTGGAATAAAGCGACGATAAAAATTGATCATCCCCAAGAAACGTCGAAGTTTATTCCATGAGTCTGGTTCTGGAAAACTCTTGATGGCTTCTATTTTTGTATCCAAAGGTTTAATTCCACGTTTATCGATCAAGTGACCTAAAAACTCTAAACTCTCAACTCCGAAAATACATTTGGATGGATTAATCACTATGCCATATTTCTGAAATCTTTCGAATAATTGATGTAGGTGATCAGCGTGTTCATGGATCGAACTGCTAGCTATTAAGACATCATCAATATACACGAAAACAAAATCTAGGCCTTTAGTGACCTCATCCATAAATCGTTGAAATGTTTGTGCGGCGTTCTTTAATCCAAAAGGCATTCTTAAGAATTCAAACAAACCAAATGGAGTAATGATGGCTGTTTTTGCTATGTCCTCGGATGCTACTGGAATCTGGTGGTACGCTCGCACAAGATCAATTTTAGAAAAAATTTGCTTGCCATGTAAAGTGAGAGAAAAATCATGTAAATGAGGGATTGGGTAGCGATCCGGTAATGTGAGGTTGTTCAATGATCTATAATCACCACAAGGTCGCCAATCTTGGTCTCGCTTGGGCACCATGTGGAGTGGGGATGCCCAGGGGCTACTTGACGGACGTATTATACCTAGCTGCATCATATGATCAAACTCAGCCTTTGCAACATTCAGTTTGTCTGGTGGTAATCGGCGTGGACGTGCCGAAGTTGGTTGACCTTTTGTGATGATCCGGTGTACTACAGAATGTTGGACAGTGTTTTCACTGTAGTCTGGTTTCGTTATTTTGGGAAATTTAGATAGAATGGTGGCGAATATGTCGTTCCCTGGAGTGTCAATTTTAATACTATGTATGTGGTAGTCCGACTGAATTCCCTGGATTTGAAGGTTCGTGCAGGAATCAATAAGTTTTCTTCTCTT